ATTCCGTCGCAGTGGACGGCGGCCAGTACGCCGAGACCGCCGTCACGTCCTCCAAAACGAGATCAGCGAGCGTGGGGTAAACAAAGTCTGGCAAAGCATCAAATCAGTGATCGCCGGAAAGAAAGATGGTCCAAATATTCAGCCCGATCTATCTCCCGACGATCTGAACTCCTTCTTCGTCTCTGTCGGGCCCCGCATTGCCGCCGAACTGAGTACCCAAAACAACGATACTGATCTAAATGTACGTCTACCCCGTGTCGGCGTATGCAGCTTTAGGCCGAGGGCCATCACTCTCGGGGAACTCGGACTCACAGTGTTCAACATGCGAAACTCTGCCGCGCGTGGCACTGACGGTATATGCATCCGCATGTTAAAAGTATGCTTCCAAACTATTGGCGACATCATTTTACACATCATCAACGTCTCAATCACCCGTTCCGACATTCCTGACCCCTGGAAACACTCTATCGTTCAACCGATCTTCAAGTCTGGCAACCCATCTGACCCCAGCAATTTCAGACCGATCTCCCTAGTTCCCGTAATCATGAAAATCATCGAGCGTGTAATCCATCAGCAGCTCTATCACTATCTCACCCATAACCACCTTCTTTCGTCTACCCAACACGGATTCCGCCCCCGACACTCCACTGAGACTGCACTGCTGTCAGTCACAGATAGCATCCTTGCCGCCACCGATAGGGGTGAGATCTCAATGCTATGCCTCATAGACCTCAGCAAATGTTTTGACGTCATTGACCATGAACTCCTTGTCAAAAAGCTCCAAATCTACGGTATTGAGACCTCCTGGTTTTCCGCTTATCTTCAGGGACACACGCAGAGTGTATCCCTGAAAGACAAAACCGGCCGTAAGATAACCTCTCGACCGCTCCTAAACACCGTAGGAGTTTTCCAGGGTTCGGCTCTGGGTCCCCTCCTCTTCACTATATTCTCCAACGACCTCTCACTATTTGCCGGAGACGCCACCGCTTATCAGTACGCAGACGACACCCAGATATTGGTGAGCGGCCCACGCAACGACATCAGGAGTCTCATCTCGCGCATGGAGGCATCGCTAGAGTCACTTAACGCATGGTTCTGCGCACACGCCCTGAAAGTCAACGCTTCTAAAACTCAACTGATGGTATTCGGTAGCCGACAAAACCTACGTAACCTGCCTCGCTTCAAAATCTCTTTCCGTGACGCTGAGCTCCTGCCGTGCGCGCAGGTGGGAAACCTAGGTGTTGTATTCGACGGCGCACTCACCTGGGAAGCACACGTGGCCGAGCTGAGCCGTCGCTGCACGGGCGTACTGATCGGCCTCTCCCACGCACGACACTGCCTCCCAGACGGTATCCTCAAAACGATCGTGACTGCACTCGTCATCTCGCGCGTCCAGTACTGCCTCACTGTATATGGAAACGGCTCCCAGAAAAACTTCGACCGACTCCAAAAAATTCTAAAGTTTGCAGCACGGGTCATATTCGGCCGCCGGAAATTCGATCACGTCTCTGGCCTCCGCGATTCACTCGGATGGATGCCTCCGAAAGCTATGGCCGATGTTAAAACCATGGTAACTGCGCAGAAAATAATAAGCAACGGCGAGCCCGAAGCACTAGCTGCCATCTTCACGAATAACAGTGACGCGCGAGAGAGATCCACACGACAGGACCACCTTTTCCACCTTCCACGCTCGCGGCTCGAGACTGGCAAGCGACGGTTCGCCTACCGGGCCGTGGCGCTACTCAACAGTCTGCCTCCCGGTGTCATCGAACAGCGCCCCGCCCAATTCGCCCGTGCGGCCAAGGCTGCAGTCTGTCCGGCGATGACGACCGCCCGACGATGACCCGTGTCAGGGGAAGGAGGTGCGACATCCGTGTGCGGTGTGCTGTCTTGAATCGTCCGTTTGTATATAGAGAGAGCGAATGTCCAGCGATTGAATTTGTATGCCTGTGTTTCTTGTTCCCGCATGTTTTTGTTTGTGCCCGACTCAGACTCTGGACTGTAATCGCCACGCCCCGCGTGGATTGTCCATGAAGGTAATGCATACATACATACAATACATGCTTCTATCCTCAGGATATTGAAATCTTTCTCCTCCACGCCGCAACCCCCCTCCGGGCTGGACAGGCAGCTTTATCTCATGCGGGCTGCTCCCTTGGAGCGGCACCGCTGCTCCCGAGGGAGCGCACCCCGTAGCCGGGTGCAGTGAGTGCCTTGGGGCTGGGTGGCCTGTGCTCTGGACGGGCTCAGCCCCGGCGACTCACTAGGGTGCCTGCCCAGACCAATGTCTCCCCCTAATTCCTATCATCCTTCCGGCTCTGCAATGGTCTTGTCAGACCGAATGGGCCTAACCCAACAAAACAAAAAACAAAACAAACACCGGGGAGGGCCTTGGGACAGAAATGAGACGGCTGGTGCCGAATCCGTCGTGGCGTGGACACTGAGTCGTCAGCGGTCAATGGTCACCGCGCATTTTCTCCTTGTTTTCATTTATTCCTTGTTCATTTCTTCCTTGTTTCATTTCTTTCATTTTCCTCCTTGTTCCGACGTTATTTCAACGATTGTCTTGACTTACCGATTGGTGCTTTTCTTTTGGCATCAAATATCAGGCGCGTTAACGTATGTAACGTATGTCGCCTGATGCCCTTTGCATTTTTAAAAATGCCTTTTTGACCATTCTGCCCACCAATAGTCAAATGAATTGTTATGCTATACCTGTCAATTTGCTATAAATATTCCAAACTTGTGAGGTTATTTTTACAGCATTAATAATATACGAACACGCCTCATCATGCATTAAAAAACTCTTACAATATCATAATAAATGTGCGCGCTGCTTCTTTCGTCTGCTTCTTCGTCTGACGCGGAAACCAAAACAGGAAACGCGCGCCTTTACAGCTGTTACTAGTGGTGTCAATTTCAGAAAGCGTATGTCCAATGTCCGTCCAATGTCCAATACTTACGTGGACTGTCCATCCAAAAATGTCCAAGCTAGCCATTTTTCCAAAGATGGCCGACACCTACGCAATAGTTTACACTCAACACTGCTATTTAATTTGCTTTTAATGTACCATTACCAGCGCTCAAAAGTGTTAATCATATCGAAAGCTGAGCTTTCTAATAGCCAAGCAATGTTAAACGCGACTACTTGATAAAAATATTGAGGTGTAGCAAGCGATTGTCCTAAGTTGTCCAAAGCCTACTGTCATTGTCCAACCGAATTCCGAATTAGACATTGGACAGAATCGGAATTCCGAGGATTCAAGTTCCGATTGACACCACTAGCTGTTACCCTAGGGCCTCCACAGACACCCATCGTTCCCTCCCCCCCCCCCCCCTCCTCCGTGGTGTATCGCCGCGCCGTCCCATGGTCCCAGATGGCCGTCCTGACTCCTGTCACGGGGGCGCCGGCTCAGGCACGGCTCAGCTCGACAGGTGACGCTGGGGTGACCCTCCCCTGGCATAGGGTTCGAGTGGGGACTCTTGTGACAAGGCCAACTCTGCCTTCTTGGCATTCCACACTACCGGAATTCAATGGTTATGTTCAGCTAATGACTCAGCTCGCACACTACATGGGCGCGACTTGGGCTCGACGTGGGCAAGCCCAGATAGATTTGAAAGAAGATCCTTCAAATTGGTCTTCAACGGTTTCTGGCTCAAGCGCACAAGTCGCAAAGCGAACCTGGCGGGCCTGTTTTAACGATATCATTCCCTTAAAGGGACTATCCCACCTTCTAAAATGTTGTTAAAACCAGTTAAATTGTGCCCGACTTTATAGATTGAATGACCAGGAACACCGTTCTGGCATTTATTTTTCATTAAACATCTTAGGCTTCCCATATTTCAAACACAAACTTTCAAATATGTGACGTCACAGCCCAAAATTACCTCCTTCCCCAGGCCACATTACTGTCATAAAGCTGATTCTTTTTACTCTGTAGGCACCACAACAAAGTTCAGACCAAGTTTTAAGCGATTTTTCAACGAACAAACCCATTTAAATCAGAATAACTATAATAAACGAGGTGACGTCACACTAACGGTCGCTCCATGTTGAAGATAGGGTCTTGTACAAGGACCATTTTCAAATGAAGGGAACGAATTTCTTCAACACCAAGAGGCCGCGGGGGTTGCAACCTAGATAGATAGTGGTTTCTGAACCTCGCCGCAAACTTGGCTATCTCAACTCAAACCCCATGTTAAAGGTGGGATAGTCCCTTTAATCCTACATCAGCTTAAAAAAAAAACATACGAAAAAATCTAAACCCTCAAATATTGTCTAGAATATAAAAAACTTCGCAGAATATTTCACCAGGCCTGTTCGCCAGGCCGCAGTGCCGGCCGTGATAGGCTGGCGGGCCCCCAAATATTTTAATGAACCTTGAACGATTATTTATGTTCAGCTAATGGCCTGTCCATTTCACCAAATGGGTCCCACATGGGTTCGATGTGGGCAGCCCGTTTAGACCTTATTCAATGGTTATGTTCAGCTAACGACCCGTCCATTTTTCCATATGGGTCCCATATGGCCCCAACGTGGGCAGCCCAGATCGACAGGTCGTCGTCCACTGTCCACTCGTGCGTTCAGGATCGGGCTCGGGTGAGCGGATGAAATAAATGTACGGCATTCCGCTATAGAGTTCTGAGAGCAAGACAGGCACTGTGATTGGATACTGGATATCGGTGTCCCGTTTTCTTTAGCCACCGGTTTGTGGATCGTTCGATACCTCAATCGGTATGGGCTGAATTTAGTGAACAAACAACACTGAGCAATACAAAATTTGTATTTTTTGACATTTCCAGCAGCTTATCATGAATCGAATTCGACATCCCGTTCTACATTATTTGTATTCTTATGATGAAAAGAGGCATCTCAGCCCAACGACTAATTCCGTGTTTGATGACCCGTATACTTTGTTCGAATATAAACTTCAACTGAGCTGCCGCCCCACAGCTTGCATGTGCTATTAATATTAAACTAACATGATGCTGTGTTTCAGTGGAAGGGCCACGACGGTCCCATTCTCACACTGGCGTGGAACTCCAACAACCGTTTCATCGCGTCTGGCGCAGAGGACTGCAGGTAACACACCTATCCGTGCTTCTATCCTCAGGATACAGAAATCCTTCTCCTCCACGCCGCAACCCCCTTCCGGGCTGGACAGGCAACTTTATCTCATGCGGGCTGCTCCCTTGGAGCGGCACCGCTGCTCCTGAGGGAGCGCACCCCGTAGCCGGGTGCAGTGAGTGCCTTGGGGCTGGGTGGCCTGTCCTCTGGACGGGCTCAGCCCCGGCGACTCACTAGGGTGCCTGCCCAGACCAATGTCTCCCCCTAATTCCTATCATCCTTCCGGCTCTGCAATGGTCTTGTCGACCGAAAGGGCCTAACCTAACAAAACAAACAAAACAAAAAACTGCAGGTAAGTTTGAGGCAGGTGGCTTGGTTCCGTTTGATTGTGCTAATGTGCGATAATCTATAGAGATGGTGCGGACAAGTAATTGGGTCGGCTTTGAGAGGGAAAGAAAGTTCGGTGAGATTATAGAGGTCAGTATGTTTTGACTTGATCGAAAGGACATACTCAGAAGACACCCATTGGAATACGTTTATGCCGCTTTGAAGCTGAGATTCTGACCTTCTGTAATCTGTTCTGGCATTCAATTTTAATTACGCTCCCACAACTCGTTGCCAGATGAAAATATAAAATGCCCGTCGGTCATTATTCTTTATTAAATAACGATGGCTGTAGTTGTACTGCATGACGATGTAGAATGCGGCGATGAAAAACCACTGAAAGACATTTGTGTAAATAAATAACGCTTTCAATGAACATGTCGAGCTGTAAACAAGGTATGGCTCGAGATCATTGCCAGTCTCTCATAGCCAAGAGCAGAACACTCGAGATCCGGATGCATGTTAAACCATACAACTGAGGGGTTTCGGCTCCACCGATGCGAGCTGAAGTAGACCGGCCCGTGGGTAGCCTAGTGTCAATACACCACTGCGTCCACGGCTGCGGTCGGTAGAGCTCCTCCATTCCCGGTAGAGACTGTAGTTGTTGTCTCGGTGGTTGAACCAGACAACTGAAGACTGAAGAGTTTCGCCTCCATCGATGCGAATAGAGATAGACCGGCCCCGTGGGAAGCCTGGTGTCGATGCTGGATGCACCACTGCGTCCACGGCTGCGGTCGGCAGACATCCTCTCCTCCCGGTAGAGACCGTAGTTGTTGTCTCGGTGGTTGAACCAGACAACTGAAGACTGAAGAGTTTCGCTTCCTCCGATGCGAGTTGAGGTAGACCGGCCCCGTGGGTAGCCTAGTGTCAATAGGTACACCACTGCGTCCACGGCTGCGGTCGGTAGAGCTCCTCCATTCCCGGTAGAAACTGTAGTTGTTGTGTCGGTGGTTGAACCAGACAACTGAAGACTGAAGAGTTTCGCCTCCGCCTATGCGAGTTGAGGTAGACCGGCCCCGTGGGTAGCCTAGTGTTAATACACCACTGCGTCCACGGCTGCGGTCGGTAGAGCTCCTCCATTCCCGGCAGAAACTGTAGTTGTTGTGTCGGTGGTTGAACCAGACGACTGAAGACTGAAGAGTTTCGCCTCCGCCTATGCGAGTTGAGGTAGACCGGCCCCGTGGGTAGCCTGGTGTTGATGCACCACTGCGTCCACGGCTGCGGTTGGTAAAGATCATCCCTTTCGGTGGAGATCGTCACCTAGTTGACTAGTTGCAGTTGCAGAGACAGACGTAAGTGTCGAAATAGATGCCGCAGTTGTAGCAGGGATGGGACTTGTCGCACGCGGCGGCGGCGGCAGCGGCGGAGCGCGGAGTCCAGCGGGCTGCTGCCGCCTCGCTGGTCGCTGCCAGCAGTAGAGAGGCGCAGAGCAGCACGGCGACCCACACCCAGACTCGTGCGGCGGCCATCCCGGCGGTCTTCGAACGGTGTGCTGACGAGAGAGAGGTCTGGGAGGCGGGGAGTTCCTGCGAGGCAGGTTGGACTGGCAGTGAGTGCTGTCTACAGTCCGATCGCGGACTATATACTCGAACGCAGACAAAGCCGGCACACGCCGGTCTCCGCCGCACGTGTGACCTGGCTCGGGAACTGGTTGCGGCGGCCGTTTTCGCATTGTCTGAGCTGGTCCGACCGGGACCGTACGCCGTTAGAACCGGAGCGACCGGGCGAATACTGCAGCGCGTATGTCGGCTTCCGTCTCCGAACTACACGTGGTGGCTGCTATCCTGATATCCACGTGTCGGCTTGGGCGGGCTGGTGCTGTTTCTGGGCGTCGTTTATACCGCCGGGTGATCAGACCCAGCAACACGGACGCAAACCAGCGGAACAATCCTGATCCGTCAGGCGGCTGAATGGGAATCGGCCGCAACGTGCGGTGTTGCGCCGCGGTAATTTTAGCCTTCCGTACAGATATGTGTAGTGCGTCATTGAAAGTTGAGACTGCATCGGTGACATTGATGAGGGCACACGTGTGTGAGCTAACTGGAATTACGCCTCTTTAGCCGGTTGACTGGTGTTTCGGTGAGATGTCGTTTGGGAGTGAAAGGGATTGGGATAAATGCTCGTTATACACACAATCCATTTATGCTGCAAATGGGTTGATATTTATTTTATAAGATAATTAACAGTGTTGTTGCAGTTATTCGCGTAACTTTATTAAAATAATCGAATTTAGTGGTATTATCCTTAGCACCATCATTCGCATATATAATTCCTTTACTCGATATATTCATCGGAAGTTGCCTCCATTGCCCATCGTTCCATTCCCATTCCCCCGATGGCACCCATTGCTACCCACCCGCGCATCTAACCCTGCACACTTGCCCCGTTCACACAGGTACCGCATCTGGGACCGATACGGGCGCATGCTGTACAACTCTGTCGCCCACGACTACCCGGTCACAGCCATCTCCTGGAGTCCCAGCGGCGACAAGTTCGCGGTCGGCTCGTTCAACACGCTGCGCCTCTGCGACAAGAAGGGCTGGTCGCACTCGCTGGAGAAGCCCAACACGGGCAGCATCCTGAGGATCGCCTGGTCTAACGACGGTACCCAGGTGGCCGGCGCGTGCTCCAATGGACACGTCATCTTCGCGCACGTCATCGAAAAGTGAGAATGGGTGGTGCAGCAGCAGCAGCAGCAGGGATGGAGTGCCGAGTGGGGATGAGGAGGGAGGGGATCCTGGAGGCGCAGACACGGCAGGCTCGATTGTGTGATGCGAGAGATAAGTATGATGCTGTATGGACACTGTCAGTCTTACAAGGCGAGTTTCTTAAATTCATAATTTCTAAACATGTTCAGCTGACAAGGCGAATTTCTAAAATTCGTAATTTCTGAACATGTCCAGCTGATTATGAGAAGGCTCGTTCGTCTAATCACATTGAAAAAACATATGAAAATTACTTAGGTAGCTCACACCTAAATGACACATTTCTTACGTCATTGAGTGATCTGTTTGTTGCAAAGACGGCCTAGTCTATGCCTCGAATGCCGTTGCAGACGGTTCGGTTAGCGATTTGACCCCATTCCGTATCAGTTCAGTGATTGATTGGGTGGCCCGCTCGCTGCCCTCAGGCGGATGGAGTGGAACCATTTCGAGGCGACCCTCACTGGACGGAAGACTATCTGCGTACGGGATGTCATGTCCGATGTCTGGGAGAAACTCGAGTTCCAGGATCGCATCATCATGACCTCGTTCGCATATGGGTGAGTACAGAAACATAAATATCGTCTTAAATCATCAAAACTAATCTGTCCTCATCCCTGGCCACACCTCCCTATTCCGGGCTACACTCGCACGTCCCTACCAGACAACCTGACCCGGTGAAGTGCAGTTGCAATTTTAGCATGTTCCTCAGAGGTAACCGTTTGGTAGACTGGTTGGCCTATTCCATCGAGTTCGTCATTAAGGACGTGCTTTACACAGCTACTGCGGCGCACCAGCCGTTGACGAGTGAGCCCAATCTTATCTTTCACACTTATCTTCCTCAATTCCTCCATGTCGTCAGGCTGAAATGTGCTCAAAGTAAACAGCTTTTTATCACAAGAATATGCAATATGCATGAAATCAGAGGTCTTCCGAAAACAAAATATTTTTAGCACTACGTAGGCGGGCTCAAATCACTCACTGCTCGAGAAACAACATAAATCATTCACGACGAGATCCCCTCCCTGCTGGTTCGTCAATTAATTTCCTTTATAAAATCATCCACCAACGTCCCCGAAGGCCTAAACGAACTGTCAGTCGCGCGTCGCCGCCCGCCTCTGCCCGTTCTCAGTGAGAGCCCCCCCCCCCTCCCTCGCTCGCTCGCTCCCCCCCCCCCTCCCTCGCTCGCTCGCTCCCCCAGAGCCGGGTCGCCGCTGCTCGCGCTGGCGGATCGAGCATCCATTTTTGGAAACGCTCGTGAAGCCCTTGTGCTGCTGTGTCCACTAGCGACACATAACACAAGCTTAGTTCGGAGTGTGTCCGCCAGGGAGTGCTCGCTGTCGGGTCGAGTGTTCGCTTCTCGGGACCGCCACGCTAGAGGATTCTGTCCGGTTTATATCGTGGCCCGGTCGGTCGGGGGTCACCCACGGGCGGATATGGGGGGGGGGGCATTTGGGGCAGTTGCCCCCCCCCCTGCAGCGCCCGAACTCGACGAAAATTTGCGGTTTAAAAACGAAAACTTGACAACTTTTGTGAGGAAAGTTTGTTTTAAACCGCACAACAGTGCGTAAGAAATCGAAATCCGATTAGTTTTTTTTTTATAATTTGGAGAATTTTTTTAGGGGTATGCTCCCGCAGCGTCCAAGACCGCCTTTCTGGATCCGCCAGTGACGCCACCAGTCGAAAAAAAATGTCCTACACAATAGGTATCACATATATCGTGGAGTATTTTGGTCTTTCTTGGTTTTCCGTGCCAACGGCTGGTGATGGGTAGCAGCGTTAAAATTTACTCTTAGCCAAAATACCCGTATAAGTGTCGATTACAACACAACCTTGCAAAGCATTATCTCGACATCATGTCTTCAGTAGGTATTTTAATTTAGGGACAGGTCTCATCGGAGGCTAGCCACTAAAGGTCAAATTGCCCGAAGGAACTACCGTCCAACTTTAAAGGGACCCTCCCACCTTAACATTAGATTTGAGTTGAGATAGCCAAAATGGGGTCCCTGGCTCACAATTACCGGTTTCGGCACTCACAACATCGAGAAATGCCTTAAATCGGAAATATTGAATTTCAAAAATGCAGCATTTTGATTCAGAGGGGCTAATGCTTAGGAATACCCCTCTGAATGTGTGACGTCAGCGCAAATATCTAATGATTTTTAAATGTTTGACTAAAACGTTTTGTAGCACGCGGTGGTATATGCTATTTGCGCGCAACATCTGCCGCAAACGCCGCACTTCTAAAATAAAGTCGCTAGAAACAGCGGAGATCCCAAAAAGTAAACAAAAGTAAAAGTCTAATTTCTTGAAAACCGGTGAATATTTTTCGGTGAAATTTGGTAGATATTCGTTTTCGCTCTTTCTGAACCGAGCGACATCACTTTCATGCCAATTCATAAACTTTTTTGAAGGTGGGAGGGTCCCTTTAAACGTGTTAGGTATTACTTAACGTTCATTTTACTTTCAGTTCTTGTAAGATATGGTCATTATGAACTGTCAATCGGGGATGCACCTATCCGCTATGTAGGTACAATCTTGGGTCTCCCCTGATCACCAGACAATCAGTCTGACTTCCCTGACTCATGAGAGCTTTGCAGAAGGAGGTAGGTGCAGGCAATCATTGGAGCTCGGAAATACGAAAGGAAATCCGGGGCTGCATGAAATCCCTTAGTTCGAATACGAAAGGGAAGTCCGGGGCCGCATGAGAACCCATAGTTCGGCGTCCAACACCCGGATGCTTATGTAATCTTGAAAGGAGCATGACCTTCGCAGTGTAAGCATGTCAAGTTGTCATGTCTGAGGGCAGACAGTTCACTGTTTACGTCAGCGACTTTCGTGTCCCGCCGTCCTATCCTATGTTTATGATCATGCAAGTCATAACCGATTGGTTTCCTAAGAGACAGCTCTGTACACCCAGGGAAATACCGTCGTAACCCCGTTTCGAACGAAGTCCGGTCGTTGTGGTCAATATGTTGTCGTGATGGGTGGTCATTACGACTAACTAGGTACAAGTTTTACAGTCAGGCGACTTACCGAAACCCGCAGAAATGTGTCTGCTCGCGAAAGGAACGGCGTTCTGGCCGGTACGAGTAACTCGCTATTACCGTCGGTTGTTATGAATGTAAAATGTACAGCGAAACTTGTGCAATGTGCACAAACAACAACGAAAATACTGCACATTTCTGTGACGGTCAGGATGCCCGATAACGCTATATCCAACACTAATTATAGCGATTGTAGTAATTGTCATTCCATGTTCCGGGCTATACATGCATCCATTATCGCCGTGAATTGTATTCGCTGCAGGTTCCTCATCGTGGCGACGACGGGCCAGTGTTTCATCTACTCGTCTCGCAACTGGAACACGCCGCTGATCTTCGAGCTGAAGGAGGGCAACGTCCACCTGATCCTGCAATCATCCCAGTGAGTGACGCGACTGCCTGAGACAGACCTCCTGACAGACCTCCTGACACGTGATCGTTGGTTGAAAAATACATCATTCGTTTGCAAACAAAGTTTATTACCGTATGATTAATGTGTCCGTGCTGCTTCTACACTTCATAGTCAATCCGCTAATTCAAACTAAACCGGTATTTTCTGCTGTCTTCTTGAATTTTCTTCACTTCGGCTTATTACGAACGGTGGCTGATGTCATTTCCTACTGGCCACTCGGTTAACAAGATCACTGATTTCGTGGAATTCCGCTGAGTTATTGACTGTCACCAGCAGGCAACGGCAGTGTTCCTGACCCTAACCCTACCACTCACCACCGGGTACTACCCTTTCCCCAGGGTGTTTGCACTGGTGGACGGAAACGGTGTGTACATTTACACGTACGAGGCGCGTCTACAGAGCTCCCCTCGCTGGTCGGGAATGCGCCTGGACTCGGTCTCAGAACAGACCATGTCGCTCGCTAACGATACACTCGCCTGCCGGGACAGCGACAACGAGAAGGGTATGTGACGACGGGACGGGCATCACCACCGTTCTCGGCAGACGGCAGTTATACGCCACGAATGTTCATAGTGTTCACATATCTTCTCGTTCACACAGACATTTCCCATATCATACTGCTGACGCTCACTCAGTATCACCGATCAGACGCTCCCCTACATATAACCGTTGACGGTTTTTGAGGTGGTATCACGTCCGCTGCAGTGTCGCTCAAGATCACCTTTGACGACTCCTATCCCTCACCGTTGACGTCTTCCGATGACGTCTCCCCTAAACCACATTATAACTACATCCTCCGTCCATCGTCAGTGATCCAACTGATGGACGCCACCACGGGGAAGGCGGTCACTGACAAACCGTTCACACACAAATGTGATGTTCTCGAGCTGGCCCTCGATCAGCACCTGCCGGCCTCTCAGCGGAAACTGGCCTTCGTGGACGCCAACAAGGACCTGTTCCTGCTCACAACGCGCCGCGTCGGGGGCTCGCGCAAGGTGCTGCGACTCGGTACGTGGCGATATTCAGCTTCGGGCGTCAGTAATTCCGTGTTGTAGCTCAGATTTATGCTGTTATGTGGAAAGATTCATAGAAGTGTGCTGGATTGTCTGCTGCCTCCCATTTGGCCTTTGTTGTAATAAGAAGGCGTTTAGATAATTATTATTTTGCTTCAGTGAGGTAATTGCGGTCTTCGGTTTCCACGAGTTGTGGTCGTACATACTGGAAAAAATGTTTAATCCGTGAAGACTTACGAATGCGATGGTTGGAGCACAACCAGGATTATTGAATTATTGAAATTGATATTGCGCCTGACGTTCCGATTAAAGCTTATGCAATAAACCTGCCTGTGTTTTTGTCGTCTTGCCAATGTGCGTCCCGTGCACGTCAGGTATGATGGTGCACTCTCTGTGCTGGAGCGCGCAGGCCAACATGCTGGCGGGCCTGCAGGAGTCGCGTCTCTCCGTCTGGTACTATCCTGCCGTCATCTTCGTGGACAAGGAGCTCCTCACCAAGACCATCCTGCAGAAGGAGTCGCCGTGAGTGGGATGGGGAAGGGGAAATAGGGCGATGCGGGGAACGGAACGGGATTAGACAGATGGGATGGAAAATGCAGGTGAGACAGAAGCTGAATTAGCAGGCGGAGAAGGGATTGGACTCGGAAGGATGAGCTCAAAAGACGTTGGGACTTTAGTTGGGATAGGACGAAAGGAAACAGGAACGGACGATACGACCGGAAAACGGCCGATGGGTTGGAATTAAGCTAGCTCGTTGATTACGGTGGGAACTGGGAACTGCTCAGCGGAATACAATGTCTCGACCAGAGGCCAAAGACGACGTCCGCGAGTCCGGGCTGCAAACTATTTATTTTGAGAAACAACCGCCCTCTCCCTCTTTTCTCTCTCGCAGTGATTTCGGCAAGAACCCGTCGATCTCGGCGTTCGGCGGCTCGCAGGTGTCACTGCGCCGCTCCGACGGCTGTCAGGTGGCCACCAGCATCTCCCCCTACCCGGCCGTCCTCCACAACTACGTTGCCCAGGAGAAGTGGGACGACGCCGTGCGGCTCTGCCGCTTCATCAAGGTGTGTGTCGTGGGCTGAGGATGAGCCACGGACTGGCTGATAGGGTGCTCACTGCCCAGGGAATTGGATAGGGGGGTTTGAGTGGGAAGTCATGATCGTGGATAGTGTAATTGACCTATTTCGTTGTTCCCGTGTGGGTCTTTCCGAGTCGTTGTGTGCTTGTCTGACTTGACATGGAGCTGTCTGACACACTGAAGGTCCGTCTAACGCGCTCTCTTCCTCAGTCGGTCTCAGTCGGATTATCTATGAGGTTATGCTCTCGCTGTGGGTCTGTCTGACTCGCTCTGTCCCCTTTTCTCATCAATTCGACTTGTTGTGGGTCTGTCTGACCCATTGTTCCTCATTTGGTCGCAGTCTGATTCTCTGTGAGTCCGTCTGACTCTCCGTATCTTCCCTCTGTTTCAGTCTGACTCGCTGTGGGGCTGCCTGGCCGGCATGGCCACCGTGGCCCGGGAGCTGGAGACGGCGGAGATCGCCTACTCGTGTATCGACCAGGCCGACAAAGTCGAGTACCTGCGATACATCAAGGTGGGTCCGGTCGGCCTCACTGGTTCGTAGTGTGGATGGGAGGGACGGGATGCACTGTCGTAGCTCCTACCGATGCTTAGACTGTGCCTTGAAAACCGGTGGCTATCTAGCTCGCTCGCCTCATCGAAGGTTGAATTTTTTGCCCTATAGTGAGTGAAAAATAAATGAGTGTCGCAAACTCAAAAGTCATAACTCACTTGATGCTCCAACCATAAAGTATGTCTTCCGTTGTCACAGAGCCACAATCCCGGTTGTAGGGTAAGACGCCGTGCTTTTTGCACCGATATCTGTGGTCTCTGACCGCGCGCTGTCTCCAGGACCTGTCGTCGGCCGAGGCGCAGGCGGCCGAGCTGACGCTTCTGGCGGGGTCGCCGCTGGACGCCGAGGCCATCCTGATCCACACCAACCAGGTGTTCCGGGCCATCATGCTCAACATACAGCTCTACCAGTGGGACAAGTGAGTGCCGCATCAGATCCCGGCTCATAAGGCTCCCGTTAAGACGTTTGACAAACGTAACTAATGCGTAGCAGCTTTCACCGGCCCCATCAACTTTCAATTCGCTCATCTAATTCTTGTACTCCTTTTAGGGCAATATATTCTAACCTCCCGTTCTCAAAAGACTCCTGTTTTATGTATCCAATCGCTGTTGTTGAACGAATCGCTGTTGTTGAACGCCGAGTGGACCTTAATCTGTCCGGCCTTATGCCTTTATCGCTTATTACTGTTGACCTAAACGCTCACTACAGATCAGTCATTCCTTGCCTTATTCCTTTACTTTGTCAGGGCGTTGGCTATGGCCGTCAAGTACAAGACGCACATTGACACCGTGATCGCGTTCCGCAAGAAGTACCTGGAGCGCTTCGAGAAGGAGGAGACCAACCAGCTGTTCCTGCAGTACAAGTCGGTAGGTGAAGCAGAAACAGCAGACTTTCGTAGACCGAATGTTGCTCGTGTCTGACTCCTACGGCATCATGAGTCATGGGGATTAGATTTTTCGAGTGTTCGGGTATTATAGTACGTGAACTTGATTCGGCGGTATGCTGATGACATGTGTGAACCTCTACTCTCTAGGCACCGCAGATCTGAATGTTAGACACAATTAATCTTAGACCATGGCCATCAACTATGCATTAAGTTCCAGGTCGTCGTGTGCCAATCACAAATATTCGCTGGACCTAGTAAACATTAGCTAGGGTGAAGGCCGTATCGGACACCCTTCGCCCTCCCCGGAGCGTTCGGGTCCCCTTCCACGAGCCCCTAACCCAGCTCTGTGCTGACATCAGATGGTGAAGGAGTCCAAGCGGAAGAAGCGTGAGCGCGAGTCCGACGAGAACGAGGAGATTCAGGACATGACGGAACAGTAGCTGCCAGCCGTCAGTCGCTCTTACAGTCCGTATGTGTGTCTGTGTGCGAGTTTGTCGCTTTTCCATGCATGGCTGTGTTTGTCCCTGTTGTGGAACCACCGAGTCTTCACTGCACGACGCTCTTCTTCGATGATTCTCAGCACATTTTTGCATGGTGTTTGGTCTGCTGGTTGTCAGCATTATGACGGTATTCGACGGTCGTTGCTGCTGCAGCGGTACTCCCGAGACAGCAGCCGGTGGTTCTTGGCTAGGTGGCCCTGACATGCTCTCTCCCACACATTGTGCAGCCTGCACCACACTGGCTTATGGTGTGTTTACTTGTTTCCACTCAGATGTTGTTTTGTGAGGTGTTTCGATGGTTGTTGCACGGTTTATTACTGCAGCAGTTGCAACGAAATTGCCACATTCACAGCGCACTGCACTGGACTAATGCTTATGAGCACTTTATCCTCTCAGCACGACGTCTTTTTCTCTTTTTGCGTTCGTCATTCGGGCACCGAGACCACTGTTATGCAACGTATGCATCCGGTATATAAGTTGGATTACTAATTTCTTCCTATAATGTTTGCGATTTCTAGAATTTGTAACCACGTAGAAGTCTACGTAGAACACGCTTCCTGTAATGAATGGATCGAATATCAACTGTTCTTACGAAAGGACATTTTAATCAGCCGGTTACATAACTGATGTATTTGATTTATGGCCATTCAGTATTGATCGTCCAACCAACAGGCTATCTGTAGAAGGCTCCCATAAACGACTGGAGGAATTTGATTTCATGATAAATCATATCATTATCCCGTACCTGTTTGAGGATTTAATTATAGATAAATATGATACCGTTCATGGATCAGGTTTGCAATTTGCCGCTGCCACCATCACATTCTCAACTTTCACGAGTGCAAAAAATCTGCAGGGCTTTAGCCACCTTCTTCAACCATTGTATTCTCTCTGACCCTGTCGGTCGAGCGGCTGCGCCCATACGCGCATTCACGCCAATAAACCTCACTTCAGATGGACGCCGACTGGAACAAGATCATCCTGAAGGTGCAGGTGGAGATGCAGAAGGAGCGGGTGGACGCCGCCTCGGTGGGCCAGTCCGTCTCCAACACGTACGGTATCAACTGGCCAGTGGCCAGCGGCGCCAACGTTAACATCGAGGACGAGAGTGACGTCTTCTGAGAGAGGTGGGAGGGGAAGAAAGAGGTGTGTTCTGAGCTCTCTGAGGGGCGGGAGAGGAAGAGAGAAGATGGGAGGCACGCATGGAGTGGGTGCTTCTTGGAGTACCGAGCGTGTAATCTCCAGTCGGTGAATGTGATTCTCCACCAGGTGATACGGTGGAATACCAACGATCTCCGTCCAGTCCGCATGTGATCTCAGTTTGTGTGTCGTGTTGTCACTTGGCTTAGCAACTAAATGTATCCCACCACTATGTTATCGTTGACTTATTCACGTCCATCCGCGTATTCGTATAGCACATTCGTATAGCTATTCAATCAACTGAGCTCGGTTTGTGCTAAGTTTCAGCTCGCTGTGTGTTATGGATGTCCACTATTGGCTGATCTCACTTGGTCCTCTGCTTTGTAGCGAACGCTCACTCTCGCGGTTATCTGTACCTTTGCGGTACCGTATAAGTAAAACACCGTCCAATGATTTGTGCTCGCCCCCAGCTGCTCTGATTTCAGTCGAGTCGGGACACGGCCGGACGTTCCGATATAACCTCGTGTGTGACACCAATATTCTAGTCAATCGGTGATAAGCAGGTTACAGCGTTATCGGGCGTTTGAAACTGAAGGAAAGTTGTTGCCTCACCACGGTTCTATTTAAAACTGACGTCAAATATATTTGCCATTTGGTCACAAATCTTAACGACTTTTCTTCACGAAGGAAGAAACCCTGCCCGAGCTCAGGCTCGAACTCAGGCGGAACTTATGCCCTGCTGAATTTCATTAGGCCGGACAAATATACATTTATTTGTGTATTTGTCAACGGCCTGTCCCGGTATGTTGTGACACGATTCTCCTCAGTTTGTCGAACAGTCTAGCCAACTGTCTAATGAACAAGTCTGCGGTGGACAATTCACCGGTTTTCCCTGCACAGCGTAACAACACCAACCTTTTGTCGGTTTTAGCAGAACTGCCAGCGTGAATCCCGGGTGTGGAGTGTTTTAACTATTGTGGTAACATCTCATGGTGGCTGACTACACGACCGCAGTTTCCAGCCTGATAAGCTTGTACATCCAAATTATCTTATTGTTCAGCGGTTCAGTCACAAAGGAGGTTACTCAATGGTACATACATAACGGTTTCATTCATGTACTCAGAAGTCTCGCGAACTTGTCATTTTACTTCGGAGCTATAAGGCTTCACAGCAACGCATCTTGCAACCTATAGCCATGAAGCGTTGGCCTGAACTTGCAAGCAGGACACAAAGAAAATGACAGGTTTATGTCCTCTATTCTAGGCAAGAAAGTCTTGCAAAAATAATCCCGCTTTAAACGAACGGTCGTGTATCATTCGTGCTGTTTTAGTTCAGGTAGACAATTTGTTACAGCCATGTGCAGATGCTTTGCTTTTTAAACCGACCTTCATAGAAAGAATATTGCATCAATTACGTTCAGCATCAAAGTCCCCCGTTTCTAGCCTCGAGGTCTTTGAAGAAATCCCAGGATTCGATCAAAGTTTAGCCCACCGGAAGGCCGCGTTCCGATTATGCCCTGGCCCTGGCTCCTGTCAATTGGCAACCCTCCGGCAATTGGCGGAAGTGGCTCCTGTGAACCCCCTGGGCCCAATGAAGAGAGATCCAACGCGGGGAGTTGTGCCTGCCTGCGCCGGCGGAGTTCTCCAGCCCCCTGTGACGGGGTACCGGCGCCGGAGACGCAGCAGACGAGCCCACCGGGACAGACGGGGGACTCCGACAGGAGCCGGTCACACGCAGAGAGACGCACACAGGCGCCGGGCAGAGGGCACCCCAGACCGAACAGACCTGAAAAGCGAGGGGGGTTTCACTCAAAAAGTCTGATCAGACGACATAAGACAAAAAGAAAAGGACAGACATGCATCAATACATAAATCCACTTTGGTTGGTAATTAGCAGCGAAACATGAAAAACCATAGTTCATAGTACCTACTGATATCCATTATCCACGAATGACAAAACCTGATATGACATGAATGATCAATCATCGTAGTTAGTAGCTAAGAATGAGTATTACCGTGGACGAGATGTCCTGCTAGGACAGCCAGTATCCAGCCGTGAAGCATGGTGACGCTGTTGGCGTCACTCGGGGATGCCGGTCTTGACCCTGCTGTATCGGACTTCAGTCCAGTCCCGCTACACTCTCCGGGTAGTGAATGCTGTGCTCCGGTCCGCCCAGCGTAAACTGCACTGGTTGCGACCGGCGACACGGGTTTATATGGATATCCCGCCATCCGACTGTGGTGTCAACAACCGCAACACTTCACCGCAATATGATCCTGATGTTCCAGATCCCTTCCTTTGTCCAGCTTCGGCGAATAACAGAAATAGCGACAACACCGCGATAGCTGGCTCCGGATAATCTACTAGCCTTCTATCTAAGGTACCCTCTGACTGCAGCTGCACTGATCAAGCCACAAGGCAGGTCACAAGCACCAAACACATGGTAAGAATGTGATAAAGACGAGGGGATGAGGTATATACGGTCTAATCTGAGCCAACATTTCGGTGGACGAAACGAAGTAGGAATTTCAAGAAAGATACATTTAAACCCCCGCGGTGCTGACTGCGCCACACCGTATTATGCATGCTTTTTCCCCGCACACTTATTTCTTCGTGAAAGCTGTTAGCGATTGATGAGTGACAAGATTTGTGAAAAACGTACATCTCTGTATATCTCCGATTTTTTATCATTGGCCATGAGTCAGGTCAGTTTTCGTGGAGATCTCTATGGATGAGATCACCGCGAGTCTGACAACCTTTCCATAAGTCGATGGGAGTCGAGGCCTGGATGAAACTGCGCCTCTTTCGTGGGAAAGTCATACGCAGCGACCATCTATTGTAAATAAAGAGCCTGTTGAATATTTTTTTAAGCTTAATATCCTGGCGACGGAACGAGATGTAACTCTCTTGGGGGCTAGGTATGTAGACGCCGCATGTGAGGACGCATGAAACATGGATAAGCTCTTAATTAGCTGTGTTGCACTGTCAAAAACGGCGTACGACTATTTATCGGCATTTATCGTTTATTGCACCAGTAATATACATATAATTTTCGCCAGCGAAGACATATTGGCAGGTTGGTAAGCATTTCAAATGCCCTCATCGACCTTCATCTGAGACAGACGATATAGAATCTCGTAATTCATGTCTATGAACCGTTTCCACGTCATCCTCTCCGTAGAAACCGGAGGACGCTGTTGAAGTCCAGTTGTCTGTACGGCGAGCTGCCGATAATACCATTGCCCTGCCCCAGTCGAGGGTTCACCGGTTTTCCTCCGACGAATTTGGTTTCATGCACCACATCGTTTCCTCCTCCTACACCTCCGCCTCTTTGAAACTGCTGAGGCCCAAACTGCTGCTGCCCAAACTGCTGCTGCCCGAACTGTTGCTGCGGGACTCCAAAACCTCCAAAGCCGGGGAACTGTGCCTGCCTGCGCTGCCGGCGTCCTGTCCCAGCTTCTTGTGGTGGGATATCGGCGCCGGAGCCGCAGCAGACGTACCCCTCAGGACAGAGGGGGGACTCCGACTGGGGCCGATCACAGACAGAGGGGAGAACACAGGCGCCGGGAGCGGCGCTGGGCAGAGTGCACTCCAGACCGGGTAGGCCTGAAAACAAGGAAGAAAGGTGGGTTATTTCAGAGAATAGCGCATTCGTTACTGTCCATCCACGTATCTGTTCTCGTAGTGTCGCATGCACTTCAACTCATTACACGGAAAATACAACTTGAACACATTTTTTAACAACGGACAGATGCCATTTTGCTTTAGGTCTTGGCAAAAAAAAATGCCTCCTATTCACTTCCTGCACTTCATTCATCAACCTATCATACATTACCATAGGCAAGACGTCCTGCGAAGACAGCTATCAAGCAGAGCAGCAGCATGGCGACGCTCCTGTATTCGCCAACCAGAGGTAGAACAAGACGTCACTCAGCCGACTTGTGCTGGACGCTGGTGCAGCCCCACTACACTCCTCAGCAGTGTAATTATGCACGCCGTGTCCGCACGGTCTCTCAGCGCACACTGCCCGGTACCGGCGGAAAAGACCGGTTTATATTGATAGCTGGGCTACCGACCGCGTGGTATAATGGAATAACCACAACAGACGACTGTCCGGTCGGCAGATTTTATGTACTGCGTCTTTTGTAGCGAGGTTCGGAGAATCCCCAAACCAGTTATAACAGCACAATGATGAATTAATACTGGTTTAGTATCGCCCACTACATCGCGTTTTTTTTACGGGAGTCAGCGTGTTTTACCATCGTGCTGCGGGTTGCGTTCTCGTTTCAGCCAATAGCGACTTGTTCAGCCAAAGCTACTAATTCAAACCAACCAACCCTTCTTCGCGTTCGTTGCCACACTCCTGAGTCATGATAAAATAAAGCCACTTAGTCGGACGAGTCTTTCTCAACTCGGGAAATGTTGGGTGAATCACAATTAAATCGTTATTCTCTTAGCCATCGACTGGATGAATCATGTTACAAGCATCTGCTACAGAATTCCAGAATGTGTCATTATAAGTTCAACGAGTCGATGTCGTGATTGTGCAAAAAAGCACGCATGCTTGGATCCAGTGTTGTTCTATAAAACACATTCATAAACCCCTACCACTTGTATTTATCACGAGTAAAAATGGATTGCTGACAAAATATTAGTGTCAAGCAGGCTCGCAGCTGTTGACGCATTTAGACTTGGATAGAATATAACACAAAATAGGCTACTCAAATACTCAGGTACTGACACGACGCCCGGCATAAGACTAACATCACATATGTAAGTGCACCGCATTCCATTATCTAGCGACATCGGGATGAGTTTTCGCTTACATCTTTGGTCGAACGCAGCAAAAGTCTTTGTCAAGTGAAAGCAAAACACATCTCATTTTACGTTCTCAGTCCACACCAGAACGTGCAACTCACTTAAACTCATCGATTATTACCTAAAACTAAATACAAGAAACTACTCAGAAGCTAGTTACCACCTGTGCACGTTCGGATAAGCGCCTGGGCCGAGATGACGAAGCTAGTCGGCGCGGATCTTGGTACGAGGAGGAATTGTGACTAGGGACTGTAACTGATTAGTTTGTATCCTTATGTAGAGATTGAACGCTGAGTAGGCGACAAGCCGCTTGGCTGCAAGAGCTGTGGCTACAAACTAAGCATGGAATAAAACACGTACACACGGGAGCGTAATATCTCGAGTCATTGTTCAATTCCAACGTTATGTCGATAACTGAATGACCGCCCACCTCGGCCTGGGTCCACTCGTTTTGAAACGATGGTGCATATTTACTGTTTGTGCTAACAGAGCGTCGCTAGTTGTAGCTACTCTACTGGCAAGTTGGCTAGCAAGAAAGGAATCGTGGAGCTGCTGTTGCCCATCATGATATCTGCCTCACAGTCGCGTATCACTGGTCCCAGCTGGCAATGCGTGTTTAGGTGCTGTGTCTGGGTGAGTCCGGTCCTTCGAACTTTACTCGGTGCCAGCACAGGTCAGAGAATAAACCATCACAGTTCAGAGATTGGACCTCACAGCGCGGACTCAGGACATCAGAACCAGCTATCGATGACTCATTCAACCACCGAGGCCCCTTCTCTCGCCAATCCCACCCCACAGGACCACGGTACCGGCCATGCACCCTCCCCCGTGATCTCCCCCATCCCTTCCGCCCTCTCCCCGTGCCGCCCTCTCACTTCCTGACCGGCTGGCGTCGCTGGCAGCCGGGGATATCGGCCGAGACGCGCGGCGAGCGGGCGTGCAGGCGCGCCATCAGACCTGTGACGTCGCAGTCGGGCAGCAGCAGCTCCAGCACTCCCTCCAGCAGGACGTACAGCAGGCGTCGGTTCAGCACCGGGCTCTGCACCAGGTCGAACACCAGGAACACGCCGCGGCGCGCCGTCTCAGAGCCCAGGATATGCTTCATCTCGTCTGAGGAGAGACGGAACGAAGTTAGAGAATAAATAGCACGGAACATGCTGAACTGTTGGAGAACGGTGTTATTCCAAGCTAAATGTCGCCAGAAGTTATCCGAAAGTACTGAACTCACAACACTGTCTTGTACTAAGTAACGTCCTAAGCATCTGGAATGAACTCTCACCTGTCACGCTGGAGAGCATGGCCGTCTTGGCGACGATTCGAGTGCGCATGCGCGTGGCGTCGTCGCGGGGCGGCTGGTGCTGCGCCGCCGCTCCGTTGGGCCACAAAGTGTTCCTGAAAATGCAACACAGACGAGCGGTTAGCCGTCAGAGGGGAGGGCGATGGTGAGGGCCTGTAGATAGTAGAGAAAGAAGACGTGCATTTAAATGCGTACTATCAGCAATACGTCAAAGCCGATCAAACCAAACTCCATAGTCCATTACCTAAACGGTAAACCCAACTGGTCTACAGTTATACCTGTCACCAGCTCCGAGCCCCCTCAACACACATCGTCTCGCCCAAGGACTGTCCCCACCTCGTTCCGGGATAAACAGGTGTGAACTTACTTGAAGTGTTTGATGTACTCGGCCGCCTGGTCGGGAGCAGTCAGCTCGGCCACGTAGTCGACGATACGCCGGCTCATCCGGTCGCCGAACATGGCCTTGATGATCTGTCTGAGTATGGTGACCATTCGCCGTCGCAGCCACTGGTTACGGGACCTCAGGTCAAATACCTCCTCCAGGAGCAGTAGGACGATCCGCAGTGGTGAGTCGTCTCCCTGTCGGCAGACACAGCAGTCCGTCAGACAAGACAGGACAAAACAGAATAGGACATGACAGAACAGCAGGACGATCCGCAGTGGCGAGTCGTCACCCTGTCGGATACCACAGCCGATCAGACAAGACAAAATAGAGCGACAAACAGGACGTGTGATAAATAAAGATAATGAGACTGAGCCATATCACAAATCATTTAGGTCCTCATACTTCGGTATCTAGCAACGCCGAGTCCGGGCCCTCTCGCCTCTAAGTCCAGCAGAGCAGGTCTCGCAGTTGCGTATCCGGATCCTCTCATCTGTGTCCACCAGTGCCGTGTTTCCGCTCACCTCCGTATCCAGCAGCGCCGGGTCCCTCAGCAGCTGTGAGGTCGGTCAGCTCACCTAAGTCTGTATCCAGCAGCTGTGTGTCCGAATCTCTCACCTCCGTATTAAGCAGCGCCGGGCCTCTCAGCAGCCGTGTGTCCGGATCCCCTCACCTGTGTCCAGCAGTGCCGTGTTTCCTCTTACCTCTGTATCCAGCAGCGCCGGGTCCCCTCACCTCTGTATCCAGCTGAGTATCCGGATCCCCTCACCTCCGTGTCCAGCAGCGCCGGGTCCCTCAGCAGCTGTGTGTCGGCCTGCTGCCTCAGCGACCCGGCCGGACCGCGGATGGCTCGGCTCAGCCCGCCCACCACGCCATCCACGGTCTGTAGCAGGCTGTCGGGTGCAGACTTCACGGCGTCTCCCACCGAACGCATCGAGGAGCGGAGAGGAGTGACGATACTGTCCACCTGTCAGACAGACGGACGAGATGAGTATCTACGTCGCAAACGTGAGGACAACAGATTGGTGGCAGTAGCGTACGAAAGTCCTGACCTGAGACAGCATCTCGCCTAAAATCGCACTGGCCTGCTTTGATACAGAAACTCCCTAGCCCGTGACTAATCCTCCAGCGGCCCCGGCGCCATGACAGACTGCATCGTCCGCCTATCCGTCCACCTCCCCTGGCTACCCCAATAGCTCCACCTCAACCGTGACTCACCGTTTTCTCGAGGTTCCCCCGGTCCCGGGCGTACTGGGGGATCTCCAGGAACGCCACGGCCATAGCCAGCAGGCCCTCATTGTCTTCCAGTCGGTCCGGCCGCAGCATCATGTTCAGGAAGGTGTTGAGGCCCGCACGGCGGCGCTCCAGGAACGCCTGTGTCTGGTTGTTGAAAGTCTTCTTGCCGGGGAACGGGAGAGCAGCTAAACTCGGGTACTGTGGAAAATGGAAAGCCTGGGTTACCGGATAAACAATGGCAAACGCTGATCCGGGACAGTTGGCTGCGAAGACAGTTGGCTGATCGGGAATTATTGTTAACCGTAAAATCTTAGCGTCTCTGAGCATTTGAAAATCACGGATGATCAAAAATTCAACGTGGCAGGGGTATCAGGTAAGCTTTAAATACGGAGTAGCACACTGAGTTTGATAGGATCTAGACACTCACCCTTTCGACAACCTTCTCGTGGAAGTCGTGGAAGTCTGAGTACCTCCTGGGCACGGTCCACGTCTCCTGGTGTTTGTCCCGGCCCATCACCGTCACCGTCACCGAGTAGACCGTGTAGGACCGAGCCGTGTCGCGCGGCGCCACCGACACCGCCACGTCGGTCTCGATTCGCCACACCTTGGCCAGGTCGCGCGCCGGCGGCGGCGGCTCGCCCGGCTCGTCGGCAGCCAGGTCGCCCGAGCCGATTGACGCCGTGTCGCCGCCGCTGCCCGTCGACTGCGAGTCGTCGTCGTCGCCGGTCGGGTCCTTGAGCAGGTCCAGCTCGGCCAGAAGTTTGAGGTAGGAGGGGGTCTTCTTGAAAGCCGGGTAGATGCGTTCCTCCTGTTGACATAAGCGGAGTGAAGAATACAGTTAAATCAACTCCAGAGTTCCAACCCTAACCAATAAAGCAAAACGCACTAGCCAGGCATGCACTGTTGACCAAGAAGCATTTGCTAGTGGCCAACAGCCTGATTCATCGGTCGCTCAGTTAAAATTAGCCGTTCCTTTGATTCAGCCCCTTCTCAAATCTCACGTCGACTCATCTGCGGCTCAGCTTGACTCAGCGGCGTCTCAACTCACCAGGAAACGTCCATAAATGGCCTGCTGTGCCTCATCAAACCACGACTCGCAGACGGTTGGCTCGCTCCTGATGCTGAAGATCAGACGCTTCTGCATCGCCTCGTCCAGCCGGACTCGCGGCTGGGCCTAGTGGACGGGGTTGTTGTGGTTATCAGAAGTGAATACGCAATTTAAAATGCAATATGAGCTTGTTGTTCGTTGGACAGCCTGCAACGATATAACAGCACACCTAGTTACGGAATGGAACTAAGGGAAAGCTAAGAAATGTTAAAAATTACTAAAAGTGTAATTTTATACGTGAACCAACGAAACACATTCGTAATACAACAACGAAGAACCATCCCTAATAGCTGTGTTCTCACTGCTGGGTACAAACACCGTAAATCCACGGAGTTTACAATTCCAATCCGATCCGACGCATCCAATCAGACTTCAGTCGGATGCTGTCACGCACCTTTTCCGAGAGGCACTGTTCGTAGATGCTCTGAGCGGCCTCTCTGAGTCGGTCCATGTCGGCGCTGCGGCCGCGCCGCTGGGTGGGCCGGAGAGAGCTCAGCTGCTGCTCGGCCGCTATCCGCCAGCCTGCGGAGACAGCGTCAGCTGGTGATGGTTATCCATGTCAAACTACGATAAATTGATAAAGTCAAGTCAGGGCAGCCCGTCATTGTCTGAAAATTCGTTCACGGACCACATTACCCAGTCGCCACCGAAATTCAGAAGCTGCTTAGGTAACGCTAGCCTCGTTACTCCAATAACAAAGTCAGTAACTGCACGTCAAACGGCCGCCGTCGTCCGTCAACCGGCTCTGTATGCTCACCCTCGACGTTCAGGTAGAAGATGAGCTGGTGCTGCTCGCCGATGGTGGCCATGTACTCGAGGAAGTAGGAGAGCGCCACGTTGTTCTTCAGCATCACGTCCAGCGGCAGGTTGAAGAGCTTGCAGCCCGGCGCCTGCAGTCGGTTCCAGTCGATCTGGGACGGCAGACCTGCGGAGCGGGGACAGTTAGACAGATCTCCAGCTGAGGAGGGCACTTGCCGGCCGTCTTTTTCGCCGTTGGTATTTGTAACGGGACGCAATATTGTACCATAACTAACGAAACTAAATTCAATTCGGGTGTGTAAGTAATAAGTATGCACCAGCTAAGTCTCTGTCGGAACCTTCATGAAGCCGGTATATGCGGTGGAACGTCGGGGGTACCCCGAGTCCGTGTCGGATTCCTCCTGAATTCAGTGTAACTGTGCGTGTGTACACACGTATCGGGTGTATATTTACCGGCTGAGTCGGTGTCGGAGCCCTCCTGAAGCCGGTGTAACTGTATAAACGCCCACATCAGGTGTATATTTACCGGCTGAGTCGGTGTCGGAGCCCTCCTGAAGCCGGTGTATCCGGTGGTCGATGGTCTTCCTGACGTACAACATGCTGGACATCTGATCCTTGACCTCGTCAGTCTCATCCCCACCGATGTCACGGGACCGCTGGCAAAGCACAATCAAGCTCGTCACTGTTTCAATCTTTCAGCTCATGTGCAAGTAAAATAAAGAAAAATCACAGCTAAATTTGAATGCTATTAGGTACGTCATGAAACAAAATTACAGGCTTACGGGCTAAAACCACCAAGCTAATATACGAGCTTTGGGTAACTGACTGACCAGCAGAGCTATCTCCTTGTTGACAGCGTCTCGGGTGGCGTGTAGTTCGCCGATGTCGTCCGACAGCCGCAGCGCCGTCAGAAACACGTCACTGGCTATGGTGACGTCACTACACTGTAAGTGGGCGTAAACGGTCAGAGGATAAGTTGTGGATGGCAAATTCGGGCAGGTACACGGGGGTTAAATAACAGCTGCTGAGGCGGACTGAAGATGCACAAGAGGAAACGATAATGAGCCCGCAATGAGAACCATATCTCGATCGCAGAAACATCGAGGCTGCCGAAGCGGCCTGCCAAGAAATCACACACATTGAACTACAATGCCGACGAATGTCACGCACGGATCTGACAAGGTCTAAGCGTTCCATCACAACCTAGCTGCTAGGGTATAATGGGACATATATCTATAGCCTAGCACATCAAACGGCGTCGGCGGCACTGCCGCCAGCAGCCTCACCAGCCAGACGATGGTGCGGTTGACAAAGTCTGGCTCGCTGAGCATCTGAGCGAGCGGCAGCAGGGCGAGCTGGGAGAGTAGCTCGACGGCGGCGGCCTGCTGCACGCGGCACGAGAACTCGGCGTCCGGTAACAGCTGGTGGAGCAGCACGCGGGAGACGTCCCGCAGGTAATCTGCCGGAGGGAGAGGGGAAGGGGAGAGAGTCAGTCAGTTGGTCAGTCAAACAGGGAGTCTGTGAAGAGAAAGGGTACTTCTGAGATCAACGAGACAAGCATCGTAGGTGATTTGGGGGAAGAGCTGGTTCGGCCCGTCTAGGGATAAATAAACTGTGGAGTAGTCAAGTGGGCCATGAGTCCGTAAATAGCTCCACATCGACAATCTCAATAGGCATATGCAACGCTATCACTACCCAGTTATTGGGATTTCATTGACAAAGCGATGCATCTAACCAGCGTTCTAAAATTGGATTTTGGTTGGGTGTGCCGATGAAGAAAAACAATCCTAGGATGAGAAAAAGGAAATAAATAACCGAAGTATATTTGCAAAATGGTGTAATGCCAATTTGTATGCCAACTGATAAACCAGGATTTCATGTCAGAATCTTGACGGTGTGAAACAAAAGGATGTGGGTGCATCAACTGTCAAGTGACATGTAAACTGGCTGTTGGGAATACATGAAGCTTTTTCAGAGATGAAGTAAAGTCGGTCATTCATATTTTAGGGATGAAAGTATTTTTCCCATTAGGTGTGACTTGCCATTAAAAAGTCTGAAAAATGGAACACTGCATCTAACCACTGCGAGTGAGCAATCAATCACCGATGTAAGTACGCCGCCCGTTACCTTTTTCGTATGTATCGACCGTGCACACCAGGTCACGGCAGAGTCGCTTCTTCTCCAACTCGGCCTCAAGGTCGAAAAATATCGACTCGAGGTCCTGCGGCTTGTTGGTGTCCAGCTGGTCCTAAACAGACGGAGGCACTGTTTCAGCGATAGTTACACGCCATCTGCGTAAACTGAACAGAACACTTGGGACATTTCGATACTTGAAATTAACCTCACAAGTAATTCCGACACCGGTAAACGCGTGAGAATAATTAGACAAGTACAACCAGCATTGATAAGTCGTTCAGAAATTATCGTAAGGCATGCCACTGCCCCACGAACCCGCGCGTACCCGGAACTTGTTTCGAGCCTGCCGGAACATCCGCAGGTGCAGCAGCACGTCTTCGACCAGCTTCCGTGTCAGATAAGGCACCCAGTCCACCTCCTTCGCCCTGAGAAATGCAGCGAGATGAGGTAAAACTCAGTGACTGGAACCATCCAGTTCGGTGCAATCAGGCACATATGAACCATGAGCGCAGGCTTAACTATCCGTCGCTGCGATATGCATTCGTAAATTGCCTATAGTGCAGTTTAATGGTGCACTGCGCGTCATATGCGAGCTGCATGATCTCTGAATCTAGCTGCGGGGTAATGCGGAGGCCACACTCTAATCAATCCACGCGCAGACCACACCACCGCACCCTCAGTCGACCCTCATCGCATTATTCACGGGCGGCCGCTTCACCTGGACGCCAGCCCGACGATCAGATGCTGTACCAGCTGATGCAGCTCGTACAGGAACTCCGGGTCATCCGAGATCGTGGAGTACCTGAAAGGCAAGACCGGGTCGTCAACCAATGACACGGTAACATCGTACACCTGAACCTAAAACAGTCACACATAGTAAACGTTCAAAAACTGTACGACTAAAAGCTATCTCACTGGATCCTAACGTTGACAGTGATATTGGTCAGGGTTGCGGAGTCGGAGTCAGAGTTGGAGTCGGAGTAGGTCAGAATCAACTGAACGGGGTCGGAGTCGATTTTGGAAACCGGAGCCGGAGTCAAAATCGGAGTCACCAAAAATCCATCGACTTCACAGCCCTGATATCGATAAGACCGACGCTGATGTGCTGCGCCGATGTGCTGACTGACCAGGGTTTGACGAAGTCCCTGAAGGCGTACTGCAGCACCTGTTTGATCTGCTCGTCTATGGGACTGGAGCCGGTGTACCGCTGGTCCAGCCGCAGTTCCCGTGCCGGTGACCTCAGCTGAGCCAGGATCTGGGAACGGGGGCATCGTCATTAACAAATTGTCACGGCCGAGCTTGCACGCAGAAGGCTAAATCAGGCATTCGATGTTTCGGCACGACAAAATAAGTGGAGCATCAGTCAGGTGCACAACTGAAAGACGTCCCGCACTCCGCAGGTCGTTAAATATATCGACTATCTATCCGTAGCGAGAGCCCTGGTTCGTGATCCTCCGGCGCTCAAATATATGAGAAACCTAGCGAGAATAGTCCGTTATCTGATTTTACTTCTAATTTTCCGAAAAAAATTGCGACTGGCAGGAACGGAAAGTGATCAGAGGCTGTGAGTCAACTCCTGGTTTATTGCGAGCATAGGCTTTGACAATTCGTTCGTTAAAAAATCTGGACACTTCAACTTAACATCCCACCACCCTGGAACTCACAGATGGCAGACCCGGCTGTGGCAGTGGCAGCCGGGAACGACATATCTCCACACTGTACTCGTCCGCCGCCCGCACGTTTTGCCAATACAGCGTAAGACAAAAACTGCAAACAATGGAATATAGTTCAGAGGAACACTGATAGATAACAGCTCACAGTTTTTGGCTCAAAGTAATGCTAGTTCATAGATACTCAGCATGCTTATTCAGCGAAGGAATAATCATTAGAGACTTTAATAAATAATGCCTTGTTACTCTCCAATTTTCAAAGAAATGCTGAGTCCAAAAGCAGCATAAAGATGAAGCCCTAGCACCTTACACAGGAGCTAACCACTGTTTTAAAAAGCAATTGTGCTTAAATTGTTTGACTGGAAACATGGTAAAATTTATCAGACCTCACAACTAAGTAAAATATAGCATACCTGACAGCGACTGTGACTAGACAGAGCAGCAGAGTGAGCAGGTTCCACAGGCCAATGGTGTGTATCAGCACAGCCGCGATGGCAGTGCCCCATGCAGCTGACAGCTGGCCCATGGCTGTCTGCTGAGGCAGCCCTGCCTAGTGCCTAGTGACACTAGGCCAAGGCTCAGCCGCTTTGATTTAGGTTCAAACTGCTGTGCAGAAAACAGGAATTCAAAGCTGTGCACTGTCACAGGTCAAAATCAGACATAACACAGCTGAAATTCAGGTGGAAGGTCAAGGATGGGGGAGGGGTGAAGAATTCCATCCTTTCTGTTTCAGCACTGAGTTAAGCATTCGCCGAGGATGGAATTTCAATGACAAAGAACAGCTTACATCACTCCAATTAAGTTTTTTGATGGCCAAGTGATTGACACATTATGAGCCTAAACATACTTAACTGGTGACATTCAATATAGCCAGGTATTATAATTCAAATAACAAACAAACTGAAAAATAAATTATAGCTCAAATCAAACTTCGTAGATATCTAATTTTAAGACCATATCTCTCATCTGGCATGGATATTATTCTGCATCATTCAACTGTTATCATTCAAATTTTGTAGAATTTGAACTAAACAATATTTTCTCAAAACAAAAGCCAGCGTGCAAGGAAAAATAAATTACTTGATACCAATCTTACTGGTTCCTACTTTTGGACTTTGGTGCAGCAGCTTGTCTTTTGCAAAAGTAATAACAGATGCGAATGCGATTCCAATTCGGTTCAGAGCCACTGACAAGTTCAAAGGATATATTTGAGAGATTTTCACACTTTCACAATCATCAACGGTCCCGAAATTTACAAAATTTTGGTTTTCTCGCATAAACGTACACTTCAATCAAAAATTTTCTTGATGTTTTGTTTCGTCTACGTTGCGTCAATTTTTGAATATGGCAGCACGACATGGCTAAAGCCAGTGTAAAGGGAGAAATGCTGCCACATCATATATTTCGAAGGGAGATGAATTATTTCGGGGAAAGCATAATAAAGAATGACGGACATGGAGATCAGCCATGCATCGGCATCCAGTTTCCACGGACATAATAGAAAAAGATCTTCCCAAATAGTGGCGGTGGCATCAGCCCGGCGCTTGCGCCGCTTGCCTTCCTGCGCATGGCGAGTGCCGACTCCGACGACATTGTCGTGCAAGATCACTATTGTCATGGGCCGGTGCGTGGACGGGGCGTCGGGGACAAGATTACTTTCGGACAGGGATGCCCGTGGGCCGTGGCAAAGGACTAGTGTCCGCACGGAGACGGCAGCTGCACGCGCCACAGTAACCAGCATCTTCGGTCGCTATACTGCGTGCTTACTGGCTACTTGCTTATGCTTACTGCGACTTTTGGTCCCATTCTTTCCATGCAACGCCCGTAGGCTAATGTAAAATGCCAAAATCAAAGGGGGCACGGTGCACCCCCCCCCCGTTCCGCCGCCTATGGTTGTAGCCCGGGGCCTGCCGTCTCCGTGTCAACCGTACCGCCTTTAGCCGATTCTCTGTGCTGAGACGACTGGCGCCAGGATTCCTGAGCCGGTTTAGATAGCCTTGCCTCAGCCCAAACTGCACCTGACAGATGCATTTTCCGCCCACTTTCTATTTCAAAATTTGAGCTTTTTGACTAGACGCTTAACGTTTTCTTTCCATAGCAAAACGGTCCAGGGCGCCAAATGTAAGACGTTAGCTTTTAATCGCAGAAGTATAGGCGGTGAAATACTGCCCTCTTCATATAAAATGGATAAGATAAACCCCATACCGATTTCAGCCCGGCTCATTCATAAGCCCCGAGCTGAAATAAAATCTGTCGTATTAGCCCCAACAAAATCCAATGAGTTGTGGAACCTCTACCTAGGTAGGTAGGTAGGTATATCCCTCGCCGGCCGATGCAATGGGGGGGGGGGGGGGGCGGGTGCCGCCCCCCATAGGGTTTTTTTCGCGATAACTCCGAACACGCTGGCGATAGAGAGCTGAAACTTGGCATACCTGACCTTTGATCCAAGCCGGATCTTTTGACACCAACCGCATTTTTGGGTCAGGTCAGGTCACTGACCTATGACGTCATAAGTGAACCTCTGCACGGTCTTCAGATGTCGCAACATCGCAACGCCCTCACTGCCAGAGGAGATGTCACAGGGAAATGAAACTTGCAGGATCTAGTATCCATTATGAGTCCCACAACTTGCATATCTCGGATTTTTCCTTAAGGTCATATGAGGTCAGGTCATTTTCGTGACCTCACCATTATAAGTCAATGGGGAAAAATGAAAACTGCTATTCTGGCGCCGGGAACGATCTCCAACTATCTCAAGCACACAGAATCGTGATTTGATGCACTCCTTGCAAGGTTAGATGCGTCACTTTCGCAATGTTGACCTTGCGTGACGTCATTTATGACGTCATCAAGGTCATATTAGTTTTTCGTCAATAACTCTTGATCAAATTGATCTAGCGAGTCGGGAAAGCCACCAATGGACTCAGGAAGGCCTGCCGGATCGAATGATATGCGACATGACCTCTTTCGACCAACTTCGTGACCTGGGGGTGCTGACCTGACCTTGACCTGAGGTCAACACCCCAAGTTGACCTGACCCGGACAAAAAGTATATCATTCGACGCGCCTGAGCAAGGGGAACACGATGCTGCCAAAATCGGCGCTCTGCGGCCGTTTTTTGCGAAGTTATTCACCAAAAACTGAACCGTACCTTGGGGCACTTGACCTGACCTCAGAGGTCACCGGTTGACCTAGGACCTTAAAATTGGGTACCAATCTCTGCGTCTCGTAACGGCGCACACGCTCGTTTTTTCCGCGACGCGCTAGCTCCACCAGGGGCGAAACGGCGAGGGGGGGTCGTACCCGCCCCGCCCCCCTCGGCCGGCGCGTATGTAGAAAACCAATAGGTCCGGCGAGGGATACATATATCTTATCGTACACCTCCCCCCTGGTCGATTGAGCCTTGAGGTTAATGCAAATGGCAGAGAGTGAACGCAAACGGTTTGCTATACTTTTAGACGGGAATCACTGTTTGACCGTCCAGTGTCCAGCTGGGTGGATTGTGGAGGGTCAGCCGAGTCAGCACTCACGGGCTGGGTCTAACTAGACGGTGGAGTCGCGACCAGCATCAGCAGCAGCACCAGCAGCAGCAGCAGTGAAGGCCAGCAGCAACAACAGCAACAGCAGCAGTGAAGGTCAGCAACACGGCGGAGCGTTGGTGACCACCCCTCACAAACGGCGTGAGCGGTGAGGTGTCTCAGTGCTGAACACTAGCCACTGAGCTAACGGCTACTACCTATTCGTCAGTGATCTTATCACTGCGTGAACGAATACAAACCAAATGTATGGCATGGCATTCAGGAAAATAAAAACGGCAGTTTAACTGGTCCTGTTGGCGTTTTGACAATTAAGTTTCACGTCATTTTTGCAAACAGTCGGGTAATTATTGAGTTCTATCATACATATTCTCATCACACAAAAAAAAAACATAACCAATGACACACGCAGTGTCCACTGCTCTTTTTTCAGTACCTACTTTATTCATGAAGCCAGTGAGATCTACGAAAAAAAAAATTGGGAACGATCGGATCTCTAAAGCCAGCGTGGGCTCTAAGTAAACCTCGTACGCTATCGGGAGTCCGGGACCCTGTTAGACCTTCAGACACCAACGTGGAGCCTTCAGAAGGAGAAATCGACCCCACATTTCCACTCCACTGTTCGGGCGAACAGAGGTGTCATAAAAATTCCAGTGCTCGATTTGAAAAGGTCGACAAGAGTTCAATAGGTGACATCAGAAAAACGGTGGAAGCTCGCTTGATTGGCCGCCACAGCTCAGTAGTTAATTAAAACGGTCTCGATAAAGGCCGGTGCTCTACCGGTTACGGTCGCAGATTCCGCCCGTGGGGTGCTCAGCTCGGAGTTACAGCACTTCGCCGGCTCACCAGGTCACTATAGCATCCAGGTTAAGTACCACTGCTATCGGCAGCTCCGCAAGCTCATTGCCGTTTTATGCATGCTGCTTTGGACTTTGTGACCCCATACCAAATCACTGCCTAATGTTTTATTTGATAGTCTGGCTTATCACCCTTGGTATAGGCAAAAGGCTCCCACCTGATTACCCTAATTAGAAGATACGCCTGACATTTGCATTCGATTAGCATACCAATTAGTCGGGGCGGAGTTGGTCAGTACCGATACGAGATTTCCCCACTGATATGTATGGATTCTCTGTCCAAACAAGGGTACGGTTGCGCGACGTGCACATTCTCCGTGCAGACGGCGGATCGCTGGTGCGGGGACGAGAGAGCCCGGTCCCAGGGGAGTCGACAATCGGCGAGCGGCATCAACTTACGGGAGGATACCGTGGCATCCCGTACACTTCAGTCGGTAAGTATGATGTCAGATGTGCATTGTGCAACCAACCGTAAAAAGTGAAAGAATCACTCACTTCTTTACTTTGTACACAACGTATTTAGTTATGTTGCTCGGCTCTGAATCAGCTATGTAACCTTTTTGAAATCAGATCAACCCTCGCCGACGGTCCTACCTACCGGTTTTATACACAAGTCTCGCCCAAGGGAAGTGGGGGAACAACCGTTTCGCCCTGCCCCTATCACCCCCAACCGAGCTAGAAACTCGCAAAAATACGAGCGTGTGCATGCACCGTCACGAGACAGCACTGGCCCGAACTACAAAGTCTCAGGTCAGCCGGTGATCTCTGAGGTCAGCTTAAACCCTGGCCCTAAAATGCGGTTGGTGTCAAAAGATCAAGCTCGAATCAAAAGTTGAGCATGCTCAACTCTTCTCTTTCTGCTTTCTATCGGTAACGCTTCCCTAGCAATCACAAGAAAATGGTCAGGGGTGACACCCTCTCCCTTTCCATCCCCAGTGTACGATTAAACGCGCCGGGTATCATATCATGGCCCATTTTTTATCATAACGTTGCTCCATCGTATCTGCATTGCGTCTGAATTGTGATCTTCTCTTCGCTACATATGAATTATGATGCCCCGTGACATCCATGTCGTGGTCTGAAAGTTGACTCAGACCAGATTACTTCAAAAAACAGGCTCTGACACCTGTCTGTGTCCCGTCGTGTTCCACAGGTTCAGCCACAGGATGACCACCCTCCTGGTCAGCGTCCTAGTGCTGAATGGAGCACAGCTCAGTCTCCAGCAGGTGACGACACCTGACCTGATCTCGGAGGGCGGCCTACAGACGACTCCGCTGCTCCCCCAACCCGGAGTGGGACTCGAAGACGGAGAGATTGCCACCCCGACCGATTCACTCGCCAACTCAACCCTGGCAGATGATAACGTTATCAGACGACTAGACACGAAAACAAAAGGAGCAAACAATCGGTCCATTTCAGTCGAAATTAGCCATACAAAAATGGACACCGAAGCTTCAATGAATATTGATCCATTCGAAACATACCAGACTTTACGGAACAATACGCTGGGCGATCACATAACAGTAGGGTTTGTGGCGGCCGCACTTGAGGTGGAGGACAACTGTGCTGCCAGCATCATCTTTGACGAGGGATATGCTTCCATGGTGGAGAAGATAGCGCAACACGTCTCGGCAGAGAGACGAGGCTATAGTGTGCAGGTAAGCAGTTGTATCTAGAAACGAAAGCATCGCGCTGAAAGTCTAATCAGGTAAAAGTGAACTGAACCTTCGTCCCTCGACCCTCAGTGAGTAGAAACTCGCTGGTCAAATCCGTTGGGGAGCGATTCTAAGGGTGGGAGAAGTAACCCAGACCTCAAAGAGCCACCCTGGAGGCCGGAGGGGTGTAACTGTATTACCTGTTGTCTGGGTAAGTTTACCAGCCAGACGAAAGTAATACTGCGAATGAGCTAGTCTTGAGAATCCGACCAGACGGACGATTCCTCGATCACCCCTAACACCTCCGTCATTACGTTTCAGTACTCCTCGGTGGGTAGCTACGTGAACAACACCCACTACACGGCGGCGGTGCAGGCCGGCGCGTGTCGTCTGTTCGTACTGCTGCTGTCGTCCCTCTCCTCTCTGGACCGGCTGCACACGGTCACCTACCTGGTGGGCAGCGTATGGGACCACCGAGGCCACTACATCCTACTGACCCCAGTGCCACCCGGCGACGCAGCCGCCACCGCCTCTAGCGGCGTGCTGGAAAACCTCCCCTACTTTCACGTGGCACACCCGATTGGAGACCCCGTGCGACGGGTGGCTCTCTGGCTCTACTCAGGCTTCGACCTCTCTATGAGATACGTTCAAGGGTGGAAACCGAACCGAAAAGCGCCTAGCCTGTCTCCGCCTCCAGCTAACTTTGTAGGCAGACGATTGAAATTCGTCAGCTTTGAGCACGAACCTAGCAACATCTACCTAGATCACAAGTTGGGCGGCGATCACGTGGGTATGGATTATTGGTTGGCACGTGCACTCGCCGACGTGTATAACTTCACCCTGGACATGCGCGAGCCGACCGACGGCGGTAAGTGGGGCGAGGCGCTGCCCAACGGCACCTGGATCGGCCTCGTGGGCGACGTCAAGGAGCGGCGGGCGCACTTCGGCATCGCCAACATTTTCCTGACGCTCAGCCGTTGGAAGCACGTCGACTACACGCGGCCGTACGACCATGAGCACGCCTGTTTCGCGGTGTGGAACAAGCCGCCGCTGCCGCACTGGCTGGCCGTGGTGCGGCCCTTCTCGTGGCCGGCCTGGCTGACGATCCTCACCAGCCTGACGCTGAGTGTGGCCGTGATGGTGGTGCTGGCGCGACTGGCCGGCGGCGAGCGGGCCGCCTTCACCTCTCTGCCGCGCGCCGCCATGTACAACTTCGGCGTGCTGCTGGCGCGCACCCACCTGATCGAGCCGCGCCGCGCGCCCAGTCGCAGCTTCGACATCGGCTGGCGGCTGGCAGCCATGGTGCTGGGGTTCGCCTACTGCGCCAAGCTGATCTCGTTCCTGACGTTCCCCACGGTGCCGGAGCCGATCGACTCGCACCGCGAGCTGGCAGAGACCGGCGTCGAGGTCGGCAGCTGGGGTGGCACGCTCGGAGAGCTGATGGCCGCCTCGACCAACCCCTGGGACCGTCAGCTGGCCACCCGCTACATCCCCAACTACGACTTCGACAACGCTCTGCGCCGAGTGTTCGCACAGGAGTACGGCTACATCGAGAACCGAAACACGCTCATCTACTACATCCAGAAGTACTACACCACCAAAACCGGCCAGAAGCAGCTGCATATCATGGACGAATGTTTCCAGAACTTCATGATCAGCGTCATGCTCCCCAAGTACTCGATGCTGACGGACCTGTTCAGCAGGACCATCCTGCGGGTTCGCGAGGCCGGTCTGATTCCAATCTGGTTCAGCTGGTCGCTGGACGCCGTTAAGACGGAGCTGGTGGACATCGCGCGCGGTTCCAGCTCCGACTCCCGCCGGCGCAGTCTGAGTCTGGAGCACATGCAGGGTGTGTTCCTGCTGCTGCTGCTCGGCTGGGTGCTCAGTCTGCTGTCGTTTCTGGCTGAGTTCGGTGTGAGGAAGGTGGGGACAGGGCGCACCACGCCGCCACCGGCACCCACCCCGCCCGTGGAGACAGCGGTTCCCACTGAGAGGGGCGAGGTCCTGCTGCTCAGTATGTAGATTGTAGACTGAGACTGACGGTGGTGCGGCACCACTGACCACAGTTACACATCTACTTAGGAGCTAGTTATAACTTCCTACACTTGTAAATAACATTTGCAGATAAAGCACACAAAACACATGCACAGCAAAAATGCACGTTAATTGTTATGCCAGATATTGACATTGTTGAAGATTATCTCCAGCATGAAAATGCGGGCTCTAGGCTTTCGAGGTAAAAAGCAATATTTTGTGTGGCAGCGGCAAGAAAACCGGTCAGGCCGGGATCGATTGATGTCATTTCAGTACCCAGGAAAGGTGTTCGTGCTATAGCCTTGGTGACGAACGATATAGGTAAGAGTAGGACTCCCTCCGAGAGCTAATAATCATATTGTTTGAGGGACGTAAGGCACTGCAACCTGGCACAAGCCATTCACACGACGCTTAACGACGAGCTCAAGACTTGAACACCTGTAGAATGACCCTTAAAACTATCCTGCAACTCGCGAGCCAAACAACTCGCAGGTTAAGCTGAATCTAAACCTCTTTTAAGTCAAGCACTCGTTATTCTTATATATAAGGTCTGAGGGGAAATCGTGTATTAAAGATCATGATAAAATCATAAATAGGGAGAAACCACGCGCAGCAAATGTACCAAGATACAACTGTTCCCGCTGGTATAACTTGTATATCTACAAAGGCTAAAAAAGGAAGCATTTGTACACTTGGACGTATTTGAACTAAACTGGCATGATGCACGGAAATGAGTGCATGAATACATGCATACTAGCCTAGGTAAAATGTTCTGTGGCTGTTAATCATCCTACTGAATGTCAGCTAGACTGACCCAATGATACAAAAACAGCACAGCATTATGAAAGCAGTTATGGCGTCACCCTGTACAGAAAAATGGACCACGGTCACACCCGCAACAAGCTCGCGGTTGAGCACCCTGTATGATAACCGGCATCGGGAACGATCACCGACCGCCAGTCGGCGTGACATCGGGTCATCTGAGAGGGGCAGTCAGACAACAATGCCCAGCCGACTCCGCGGCTACATACCCTGCACACTGCTGCCCGTCAAGGGTTACCCATTCCGTCGCACTGCATGAAAGTTTAAACGTACACACGGCGTGTTACAACCCAAACCGGACGGAACAACAAGTTGGACCTCCTAACCATCACAACCTTACCCGGCCGAACGCGACGACTTACGGGATGGTCTCACACAGAAAACCTCTCCCCGTTCAGAACTAGCCAGCAGGAGCCGCTAGAAACCATCCCCACTGGCTGATCATACAGGATAAAGCCCTTAGCTGAAAGAACGCATACATGCACTTTTGTGTTTGCAATGCCCATGCCGACACCCCACACTACATTTATAAATCACACTGGCACACAAACTGGCGCATGGCACAGAGTATAAGCAACATGTAAAAAATGCCGCAAAATGCGCGCAAATATTAACATAAATACACCCGTCTCGAGACAAACACACCGTCGTCACCAGCAAAGCTCGTATACGAGCACACTGCTCTGGTGGAGGGCCGTCGCCTGGCTGCAGCGCAGCTAACTGGAAGCCATGGTGGCTAGCTGGAGACCGTTTCGTTTCTAACTTCGTTTCCACCGCGTTGGGTAGCTATGAGCAACATTGTGGCTAGCTGATTAAGGCCATATCGCGGCTAGCTACTTGGCAGGATGGCTATATACCTAGTTGTCGGGGTAACCTCCAATTTAGTTGCCACCGCAGCCACGTTACTACTTACTGGCGTGGCTGTATAGCTAGTGTCCGGGGTAGCTATCTAGCTAGTTGTCGCGGTTGCCATCTAGATAATTGTCTGTACGGCGAACATCCCACACGGATCAGTGAATAGCAGTGTCCCGGCGAGTACGAGCGCCGCGCCGAGCCAGTGCTGCGCCACGAACGGGTTCGAAAAGTACCAGATGGAGAAGAGCAGACTGGCAAACTTACGGAGTGTGACTACCAGCGTGACGACGAGAGAGGTGCACTGCTCCGTCAGCCGAAACACCATGCTGATGCAGAGGTATCTGGACGGAAGGCAGGTCAAGGAAAGACACCAGACTGAATGCAGGTGCGCATGGTAAAATACAGATGAACGATTTAATAACTCATGTTACGTGGTACGCATGTAAAACACCAATGAATTCATCCACTCACGCATTCATAGACAAAACTCAAATTGACACAGGCCACAGACATAGGAGCAGATACAGAAAAACAAAGATAGGCACAAGCAGACCATAATAGACACATACACAGAATTATTGACGTACACAACAGACAAACAGATGTGCGAAAAAGCAACAGCAGACTACTGATCACGACAACAGACACAAAGGATATCACAAATGACAATCCACAAGCTGATAGCAGATGATAGAAGCAGGACTTTCAATCAGCGATATCACGGATGACGTAACGCATTTTTTTTTCACTCGACCATTGTTCAGTGCGCAACACCATGTCTGCTGTCCCCATGAAAGGATACTGAGTGACGACGTTGCAGCCGAGCAGCAGCCACAGCTTGGGGACGGCCCCGAACGGAGCGAGCAGGACGGGCTCCGACTGGCTGAACAGCTGGGCGTGGTGGTAGATGTCCGGCAGCAGCGGCACGAACAGTGGCAGGGGGAGAGTGTGCTGCCGAGAGAAGAACGTTATTATAGGCGGCGTATACTGCAGGTAACAGCGGCATTAACAGCGAGAGGGGAAGACGGGGAAGAAGAGGAACGAACGTTCCCACACGTACCATAAGTCACGTATTAACCACGGTGTTACTGGCAGCGTGAGCTACGGACAAATTATGAAGAAGCAAAGTGTTGTCAGGCACCGGTCTTGTGTTCCAGAGAAAGTACGAGGAACCGCGGTATTAGTGGGAGCAAATGCTGTCGAGAAAGCAAGGGCTGGGGGTTTTGCAATTAACAGCAGTTGATTTTTTTTAAACCAGGCAGAAAAAAACACTGAGGTTTAAAAAACCAAGATGAGCTGACTTCTAAGATAAGAGGCTTTGACACTAGAATGGATCGTGTTCCAACGAGACAAACGGTAGTACCCGATGCAGTAGCCATCAGATTGGTATATCAGATTTGCCGATAAAAGTTCGAAACACGAATGAAACGTGTTCGTGAACACGTCAACAATGAACATGTTAGCCATAAGTTGCGTAGCAGCGCCGGCAGAGCATCCACCCTTCCACCCACATATACAGAACAGAGCTGCACTGACCGTTATGAAGAGAGCCTGCTGCGAGTGTCGGCCGTAGTCACGGTACAGCACCTCCTGAAAGATACCCAGCCGAGCGGCGAGCAGCAGCGCCGCCGTTAGGATGGCCACGCCGAGCGCCAGGGTGGCCGGGCTGCTCCGGTCCAGACCGGAAGGGGGCGCTTTGGTCGGACCATCCACCGCCGGCTTCTCGGCAGATTTCACCGACTGTAGGACACACACACGGTAGGTCAGACGGGATATGCGCAGACACGGTGTCATAAAACTAACGTGATTAATTTGTTTTCATGTAAATACATGGACTATTTTAAAGTACCTACTTTAAGCGCCCTGTGAGGCGCAGCTGGTTCATCATGGTCAGGTGGGTGGTCCAGTCCATCACCGATCTGCGACGCTATGGTCATTGGTCACTCATCACCCACCTTAGAGGCTATCGTGGTGACCCATCACCCACCTGGGAGGCTATGGTGCTCAGTATGATTCCGACGGTGACGAGCGCCACGGCGGCGTACTTGTGACGCGGGTAGAAGCGGCGCAGCACCACCATTCCCATGAACAGGTTGGCCACCAGCGAGCCCTGAAACAGGCAGACAGTCCTCGATGAGAAGGCCGACAATACGAAACGAAAACAATAAACGAGGAGCCGAACACGTGCAATAAACAGTCTCGTCACACAGACACAGCATCTAAACAAATAAGGTAGAACATGATTTTAAAAAAATGCTTACCGATTTGAAGATCATGTGCAGAGGCATTGGAATCCCAAAGTTCAATGCATAGTTGTTGAGAACGCTGGAGCCAAAGAACAAGCAGACCATAATGATGTACTCTCTGCAATAAAATCATTCATACAATAATGATTGTGATAATTTACCTTGTGGGTATTCATAACATAGTAGAATGAGGATTTACAGGATCATATGAATATAGCTGAGTGTAAAATATTTTTAGGCACTTTTGACTTTGGACATTCAATGCCATAAAGTCTACAATGTAAGCATGCATTATATCAGACAAATGTTTAATTCAAATACACATATTAGGCCATATGGTACTGAGTCTAAATTTGGTGTGCTATTATTTTGAACAAAGAAAAAAACTCACCTTAAAGGGATTTTGGACTGCTCTTTGCCACACCTCATGGTGAAGATAAAACCATGTAAGGCAATAAAAAGAAACTGAGAAAATGTGACCAAATTTCCACAGCCTGGATGAACCCTGCAAATGAAGACAACACAACACATTAAAGGCATACATCATGTCAAAGAAAGCTTAATTTTAACTTTGTATTTGCTTCTAAACAGGGCATTATGCAAAAGCATGTATGCAGCCCTTATGCAAGTTCTATTGTAGATTATGAGCTAATTGTTGTTAATCTATAAATATAAGAAATATTTGCTAAAGTTCAGAAAATAATGGGAAGATAATGAACTAATTTGCATTTCTTATATTCAAACCACTAATGGATAACTATTAACAGTTAAATGAATAGGAAGTACTCACTTGGTCAAACACTCCAAAAATACAACATTGGAGCAGCATCCCAGCATCACCAGGAAAATGATCAGTGGAATATTCATGACAGTATATTCTTCTTGTTGGCAATTCCAATGACCTTTTCTCTCAGAATTTACCTGCACTACAAAGGAGAAATACATATTACAGATACTGATAGGAAAAAATGTATTGGCTACAATTCTTATATTCATTAAAATCAACCATCACAAAATTTAGCAATCACACTTTGGTTTTGAAGATTTCCTCTAGTACAGTCAACAGTGTGGACATCCAGAAAAGGTGTCCATGGTGCAGTGCACCATGGACACGTTTTCTACACCATGGACAGTGGACACCTTTTTTTTGTACAGTGCAAAGTTTGCACATAACAGTGTAGGAATAGATAATGACATGCTGAACAACACAATCTGTAATGCAAAGCTGCCCAACATAATAAAGGGTGAGTACAAGTTATTAGGTCTTGCTTGTTCTGACTGGTGCAGATTTCCTATCTAGATGGTGAGAACTAATGCGAATTCATCATCCTAGCTGGTGCATCTTGTCAACCATAATTGTAATGTAATGCTTTACAATCTAGCAAATCAAAATACAGACTGCAGTCCCACATCTTCTCTGAAAACAGCTTCACCTCATTTCAGCACAAAGTGTGATCTTTCAAATTTTGTGCTGCAATATACATTCCTTTAGAGTGTGGGCTCATACAGGTCTCAAGTCTAACCAGACTTGAAAACCATCTCAGTAGTTGATAAGATAATTGATATTGATATTGATGCAGGCAGCAGAACACACCCCAAAGCAATGTCAAAATTTGCACTAGACCACACATCATAAAGCTGCCATCACTTCAAAAAAGCCGTCCAATAAAATGCAACCCAATGTTAAGTTAAACAAAAGTAAAAAATATAGTGAAATTAGGAGGTGCCAATTTCCAAGCAATAGGTAGGTACCTTCATCACATCACCTCACAATCAGCAGACAGTATATGGTATACAGTATACTGCCTTGCACCAGACTTTTGGCCTTTTGATGGCTGTTAGTGAGACGAGAGAGGTAGCCTGAGGGCGCATATTTGAAGATGGGATTGGGAACACAAATTGTGGGACTTTTGACACTTTTTAGTCTTAAATCTTGTAGCTTGTTGAGTTTAAGACATTGTAGGCTATTATTTTTGCAACGTCTATTATTTTTTGCAATGCAGTTACACTTGTTCCTGTGATTGCGAGGCCATCGCCCTTTCGGCGCCTCTAGGACTTGTCTTGCCGGTTGGCGTCTCGAGAACGCCAGCATTGGATTACTTCTTAGTTATCCTCACAGCACAGACATGCATGGCAATAACATTTCAACCGTTTTTATACCTCGTTCAAAAATCAAAATAGAAATCCAACCACATCAAGACGATACCAAAAATTCAAAACTATGCATCTCTTATACGGCCTTGCTATGCATCAACAGACAAATTGAAATCAAATTACAGCACACGTAGGCAATTATACCGGTAATAAGAGACACTGTTCAAATGATACTGCGATTACCTATTTAGTTTCTTTTAGCAGAAGTATAAGCCAGTAAGCGAAAGATTATCGTCATCAACATCAAATAAAACCTGTAAATGATGTCGACAGAACAACACGTGTCTGCGCAGTAACTGAATACTTCGCGCTACTTTCACTCAATTATAATATGGTAGCACTGCGCTACCAGATGAAGTTTTTTTTTCGGTGTCTTTGAAGGCGGATCATTGCCTTTGAACCGTGGTAAGCGTGGCAGCGCCTATCCTATCCACATTATGCAGGTTGCAGGCACTGTATTCTGCAACTACTCTTAGCCTTCGAGACAAATGTCTGAGAAACGAGAAAATTAAAAATCTCGTCAACAAATATTGTAAATTGTGTGGAGGAAGAAAGGGTGCACGGCGTGCAGTTGGACCTCAAACAAAAAAGATGAGGAACAAACAGGGGCTTCACAACGGTTTCAGGATTGGATGGTCCGACCAAAAAGTGCACACTCTTATACAAGGCTGCATCATGAAAGTAAAATTATTGGGGTCCAGAGTCCAGACCCCCCCCCCCCCTCCCCTCCTGGCTCCTCCGACCCCTTGGTGCACCAAGGTGGTGGTCGGTGAAGCCCCTGGTGAAGGTGAAGGCTGGTGAAGCCCCTTCACCGACCACCATGGTGGTCGGTGAAGCCCCTGGGAACAAACAAACCTTACCCAGTCCAGATTCGTGACGCTTGGGATCGACAGTTGAAAAATGAAGCGTTTTCAGGCCTATTGAGATCAACAAAGATCGTCAAACGATCCCCAATTTTGCACAGAAGATTGGAATCCACCCAGCAGACTCAGAGCCCAGAGGCCAGAGAGTGTTGAAAGTCAGGCATCAAACGGCTATGGACTATCTAGCTCGAATTTCGAATGATGTGCTTTCGATCGAAATCATTCCTTTTACTCGAGCCTATGGTATTCAAGATTCAAGAGCTTCTGTGCAGACGTTTTTCTGACTTGGCCCGCAAATGACCTTAGATCATCGCGTGGCCTTTTGAGGATCGTGGGAAAGAAACTTTAGGGGCATTGGCAAGTGGTTTGGTGCCATTTTCAGCGCCCTTGTGTGCTCTAGTGCGCTCTAGTGCGCTCAGTGGAGCGGGGAGCCATATATGGCTCCACTGGGTGGGCCACAATCTGATATGCAGTGACCTTTGTTGACCTCTTTAGGTCAACAGTACCGCTAAACGTGCCGTCAAATACCTTATGGGCAACGTACTTACATATTCTTAATCACAAGAGCATTCGGTAAATTGCTTATGAACCCGTACCCACTGGGGCTCCTAGACTTCCACGCCCTGCTGGGGGGGGGGGGTTGATGTTGAACATCCACGCTTCTAACTTGGCTCCTGGGGCTGGGCCACTTAGGCAGGCCACCTTTTAGGCAGCGCTCGAAAGAGCTAAAAAAAATAACGAAGCAATTACTTTGAGCACTTTAGGTCAGGTCAAACGCCAGGCTACCAGAGGTCATCGAAGGAAAAATTTCGCCAATTTTCAGGTCATACTCGACAAACCGCGCGCCGCATAGCCCAAACGGATAGAGCTACAGCGCCGCGGAAAAGCGCATTCGATAGCTCTCTTAACGTCCATTCGCTATCGTGTCGTCAGATTTGACCTATATTGGTTAACGGTTTAGCCTGCAGTGGCCGTATTCACAATCAGGGCCATTATGGGTATAGGGGTAGGAGTAACGGGGTTATTTTTGTGGCCGTATTCACAATCGAAGTTTACCTCTGATGGTCGCCCGGCGCCACGCAGACGGCACCACGAAGGCCGGGTGCAGGTGGGGGCAAAAAACGGCAAAATACATAGAAGTTGTTTCTGCAATAACTTTTGACTCAAAAGTAGCACGAGCTTACTCTTACCAGCATCGTGCTCCTCTCGTCGAGACGCATCGAATGAACTCTAAATTGACATTGAAAGGTCAACTTGTAAATGTTATCTCAGGTCAAAGTCATGACCTGACTGGAAAAGGTCGTGTTGCACATTAATCGACCCGTATCGTCGAGCTGAACACATCTAAGGTGTTTTCACCGCTCTAATATGCCTCTATCAAAAGCTATTAGCGAAAACTGTTGCATACCTTTCGTGACCTGAGATGACTTCAGGGACTTAACTTAACCCTATTCCTGGCGGGGGGGGGGGGCCTCAGGAGCCCCCCCCCCTGAGGTTTTTTGGTTATTTCTCCCAAACGCGTTGAGCTAGGAAGCTCAAATTTTCTGACTTTTCCTAAAAGGCTTCTACGCAACATGTCTGAAAATTTTGAGTTGATCTGACCTCAGGTCAGGTCACCAGAGGCGGTTTTGTGACCCTACCTCAGAAAAGTTTGCAATCACGCCAGAGCTAGAGTTTTTGACCGATCAATTTCTTCTGTTCAGGGTTTAGTTAGGGTACCAGTATGTGCAATTTGTATATCTCGGAATTTTGATATCGGTGACCTAAGGTCAGGTCAATTTCGCGACCTCCCCATTATAAGTCAATGGGGGAAAAATCAACTCCCTGTTTTTACCACTAAAACGGGTCGGAATGGCCCCATATACCATACATGACTTCATATATGATCAACCTTCACTACCTTGAGGTCTGTTTTGCTGTTGGGCAGCTGTGAGGTCATGTGACGTCATCAAAGGTCACCAAAGGTTTTTGGCCAATAACTCCGTACAGGAACAAGATACAGACGCGTGGATGGTCTCATTGTGTTCAGCTCGTCAAGACGCATCGAATGATATACATGATGACCTCGAGGTCACGTGACCTGAGGTCAACCTTTGACCTTGACCTTTCGAGGTCAACATATATATCATTCGATGCGGATTGACGAGAGGATCACGATGATGCCCTTATTTTGTTCCTATCTTGACTAATTCGAAAGTTATTCGAGAAAAACTCTCTCCATATCTAGCGCCGCCATTTTGACTTTTTCGACCCCTGTGACGTCATCTTTGACCTGACCTGAAAATGACCTTTGTAAAAATTGTAGATCTTGGCCGTGCGTATCCGATGCCGTTTACCGCTTGTCGCTATCTTGCTTCGTTCTCGAGATCTCAGGGGGGGGGCCGAATCGGCCCCCCCCCCGCCAGTTTCTTGTGCCGGCGGAGCCCGCCAGGAATAGGGTTAAGGAGGGGACACGTGTGCTTCTTTCCGGTTAAGTATGTCATTTGTACTTGGAAATCGGTATTTGAGAGTGAGTGTTTAGAATGGCGCTTGTTAAAAAGGCGCCTTTCAATTTTCTTCAATTGACTTATATAAATATATACCTAATGAAGAGGTCGCAAAACTGACCCGACCTTAAGTCACCGATTTCAAAATGCTGTGATAAGATTTTGCACATACTGTGCCCTTATGAATTGCTGATTGTTTTAAAGCGATCCGGCATCTGCTGTAGAGCTATGGCATGCACTGGATCTTGTTTGAGGTGAGGTTACGTTACTTGACCTGACCTAGTGAGCTGACCTTAAGAGAGCTTTGCCTGAAATTTTAACATGTGTAACCAAGATGTATGATTAGCTTTGTCAAAAATGGTGGCGCTCCACCCGGCAGTTTTTGAGATATTCGCGTAAAACCGCAGGGGGCGTGAGATGTGGGGTGCTCACCCCCTTCCCCAACATGGCGTGGGTTAAATAGTTAATGGCCGCTTTGCCACTATTGCCTCTATGGGCTCACTAGTCACTCAAATGTCTGGTTGGCACCGTAACACAGCTCTCTTCTTTTCTCTTCCACTTCACAATAACCAGCGACCAATGAGGTACCCAAGGGGGGTCACGGGGGCCATGGCCCCCTCCTGAGCGCCGAAGGCGCTCCAGGCGCTCAGGCCTTGGTATTTTTTTTTTCAAACACTGGATAAAACGTCTTTTACTAGGAAGAAAAAGTGATATCGAAGTTTCATTTATGTGCCCCTGGTTACCCGAGGGGCCCCTGATGACCCGATGGGCCCCTGCAGTCATCCGATGGCCCCCGGTTTCCTGGCCCCCTGGTCGCCTAGGGGGCCCCTGGCAGCAAGGGCCTGGTCGCATGGGGCCCCCTGATTGCCTGGGGTCCCTAGTCGCCTGGGGGGCCCTGGTAGCCGGGGGGCCTGGTCGCATGGGGGCCTCTGATCGCATGGGCCCCTGATCGCATGGGGCCCCTATGTAGTCGCCAAGGGGGCCCCTGGTAGCGGGGGCCTGGTCGCATGGGGGACCCTGGTCGCCTGGGCGACCTGGGGGCCCCCGGGTGACCTAAGGGCCCTTCGGAAGCAGGTGGCCCCCTCCTGGGCGAAATCCTGGGTACGTGCCTGCCAGCGACTCTTGAACTACACCTACTTCAGTCAGCACCACTGAACATTGTGTCCTCGTTGCTCAAAGATGTCGCTGACCGGCTGGCGCGAGCCACGCTGGTGGAAGCAATCAAAAGTCAAGCTAAGGTCTCCTTCAGTGAACGTATGTGGGAAAAAGCAAAGCCCAGACAGAAGAGTGCGCTCGGTGGGAGTCCTGACATGACGTCGCTTCCCTCCCCATAGTCACTCGTCACTCCACTTGCACTGATCGGTGGTGTCGCAAGGGGTACCTATCACATTATTCAACTTGACGGCACCGCTCCCTCTCTGCAGCTGACGATCCCGAGTCCCGGTGACCCGACCCAGGTCACCGACATCTGCTCCTACCGCTACATGTTGACGTCACGGCCAGTCCATACAGCAATCCATTCGCCGACCCGGGCTGGAGTTATACGGCGTGGTAGGCTGTGCCGCATTACATCTCAGTCGAGCGGCACAGTCTACCAATACCAGGCGGCTGCTGCCTGGCGCTGGGCCATACGTTCTGGTTTTGCGTACCGGTAAAAAGGGTTCCGGTAATTCATTTTGTACCCAACTTTACCCACCCTTGCGAGAAGATTCAAGGCAATAATAAAGCCGATGTCACCTTTACTAAAAAGAGCAATGATAAACATCTTAGAGCATTTAACATCATAGTAAGTATTATAGTAAGTGCCTTTACCTTCACTTGAGCTTCTTCATAACCTCATCACTCCTTCATAGCAGACTTCTGAATTCATGTGTAATTCTATGTCATTCCGGCAACGCTCTACTAATTGGCGAGACAGTAAACATCCCTGACTTGAAACCTCTATTTGGCATCACTTTGATACATGTCATGATTGAAACTTGGTCAACTGTCCTCGCTCTCGTACAGAGCGTCTAAACACACCACCATAACAGCGTGATAACGGGCGAGCTGGCGCCGGCCGGGCGCTCGCTGGCGTCTGGCCCGTGTAACAAAGGATCGGTGGTCACCGGCGCTGGCTCAGCGGTCTCTCCGACAGAAAGAGAAGCTGCGAGGAGCGTGGGAGAGCGGGAGAGAGGGCGCCGGAGTGGGAGAGGGGAGCGCGAGGCCCATCGATCTGGCGTCGGCGTCGGCCGATCGTTACCCGGCCCCTGGCAGTGGGCACGCAGCGAGCGCCGGGAGACGGTCCGGCCGGCCGGACCCGTGCGCCGCGCGCCGTACAAAACCGCCGGCCCGCCCACCGCCGGCACGCACACCCACACCCACACACACACGCACACACAAATGGACAGCTCTCTGCGAAACACGCACGGCACTCGCTCACTCACAACTTAGGCCACTAGGAGGCATACGCTAACCGTCACTACTGCGCGCACTTTTCGTTCGAGCTCGGCGGCGGCGGCGCGCGCTCCACCTCACAGCCAGCCAAAGGGCCGCCCCCGCCCCCGCCGCCGCCGCCGCCGCCGCCGTGATGCCGGGGGCGGCCGTCGGCCGGTCGGCCGCAGAGGTCAGCGCGCGGCGCCGGCGGCGCTGTATTGTCCAGGGGGCGGCGGCACGGCGTCCCGCCGGCACCGGACACGAGCCGTGCAGGTCACACTCGGCGCCGCGGACGCAGCCCGGGTGGAAGCAGCAGTCGTCGTCACCGTACTGCGGCGCGCCCGTGACGAAAGGTACCACCTCGGGGATGTCCTTATCTGCGAACACACACATACAACTGAATACAATGGGTGTACGTACAACTGAATGAATGGGTGCTTCAGATGAAATGCTACGTGCGCTCTGAATGTTTGATTAGCGGCTAGTTGTCCAAGATCTACTGAGTTGTTAATGCTGGCCTTTTCGTTAAATTGATATAATTGCGATAGGGGTGAATTTAAATTTTATTAAGCTATTTGATGGCTAGTGGTTGGCTTACGACATCCCGCGCTACATAATCAATATGATTTTATCTTATAACACACTTCATATTTGGACGGACCTTATGAGGATAAGATCCAAATATAGACACAAAAGCTAATAAGCTGCCCTTTCAAAGGCACGTTGCATCATTAGAAAATAACATCCTAAATATATACGTTATTCAGCGAATTCAGCTGTGGTGAGGCCGTGGCTGGCTGAGCAGTTACCTCCGCAGTAGAAGGTGGGCTCTCCGGCGTACTGGTGACTGCTCTCGGCCCTCTCGGCCGGTAGCAGGTACGGACAGGTCTGCTGCACGCGCTGACAGACGGAGCGGCACGGCCGCAGCCGGCCCCCGCCCGGGCTGGCGCCGTGGTAAGGCAGGTAGACGGCGCACAGCCACCGGCGGTACGCCTCCTGTGCGGGAGATTGGCGGTCAGAACAGCGTACACTGTACAGCAACTGAATGTTACATATGTACGCACACTGCACAGTTGCACAGTCAGCGGCGGTACGCCTCCTGTGCGGGAAATGGACGGTCAGAACAGCGTACACTGCATGTACACCTACTGAATGAACACAGACACTATGCATGCATAGTCACACAGCCAGCGGCGGTTCGCCTCCTGGACGGGAGATGGACAGACAGACCACAATTAGGTACTGAACACACCGACACTATATACTACATAGTCCACACAGTCGGATGCGGCACGCCTCCTGTCGAGGAGATCGTCGTCTAGTTCTGCTGTCTATCTCCTGTCCAGGAGATAGACGGTCAGAACAGCTTACAGTTACTGAACACAATGACACTATACAAGTACACATACTATTACATACATAGTTCACAGCCACCGGCGGTACGCGTTCTGTACGGGACAGAGACGGTCAGAACTCATAATTCAGATCACGCTGATACCAGTTCTATACACAAGCAAATGTACATAGCTACACAACGGCGGCGATATACGCCTCGGCTGTATGTACGCTAGCAATAGACGGTCAACAGATTACAGGCAAACTTCGAACAAACATGTCAGAATCACAATATATTTTCAGAATCACAAAATATCTACCTATATGTATGCAATGGACATGGGTTGCAGCTGATGACCAAGGACCACTCGAAAGGCCTTGCAATGACATTAAAGGTAGTGTGCCAGCTTTCCTGGACCGTATGGAGTTAATGGCCCAGATAAGGAGAACCGGATTTTTAGAACTTATCCATACCTTCAAAACTCATGGAAACGTCTTAAATTCTTCAAATTTTGAGTAGGGTAGACCGGGGCAAGTCGCCCCGCCGAGGTAAAACGCCTCACCGATGTTTCTCGGAACTGGCAAGGATCTGGGGAAATATTCTCTCTTCTATAAAACGTGCACTATATGATCATTATATGACCAGACTGGAAAGAAATTGTGATGACTCCTTAGGGAGATATAGCCAAAAATGTGTTTTTGGAGTGATTTTTATGTTTTGTTGTCAGGTTATGCATCATAGCGTTCTTTTATGGTCCACATCAGGTTAACGACTTTTATGTATTTTGAACAACTATTATCTAACGCTTATAATGCCGGGTTGGTTCGTGTTAAATTATGTCTTGCTGGAGTGCAAGGCGTTGTTTTCTGACCGAACTACGTGATGGGGTAAAACGCCCCAGTAGGTCGCGGGGCAAAAAGCCCCATGGGGCGTTTTGCCTCATGTGTTGTTCGTACTACCCACTTCCTAATGTTCGGTAGCTGGCAAACAGTAAGTTTCTATGCATTTATGTGTAGTTTTCTCAGCAACCGGATGGCGAAGGAAGTATTTGGTTGACAGTTGCATGGCAATAATTTATTACTTGGCCTTATGAGGCAGGTGAAAAACCTGCTCATACAATAGTGTCATAGCTGAACACCTGATAGGATGGAAGGTGCTAACTTCAGTGCCGTGCCTCCCAAGGTCTAACGGACCTCTCATATAAGATTTAGTCAACTAGCATGTTTAATCTTTAATCTAGAGTATGGGGCTTCTTGCCCCAGGCCGTGGGGCGTTTTGCCCTGGGGTTGGGGCAAAATGCCTCATTTGCAGTTGCTTCACAAATCACTTCATAGCTGGGAGTCCGATCATAAGTGAATGAATTTGAGGGGTGGAATTTAAAGTAAAATGTCCAAAGAACGCATTGAGCACAAATTTGGCCTTCCAGGTGATGTAGGACAAAAGTTATCTAGCAAAATAAATTATCTGGGGCGTCTTGCCCCAGGCTACCCTACCCCAGTGCGAAATTCGCCCCGACGGGTTGTCGGTCGTACCCCAACCACATTTCACACCACTATGAACAATAAATGCACACACTGAAATCGCTATTACCGATATGCTCATCCAATCAAGTTTCGATAAACCCGTTCATCATCATCTCCTGCGGTTTCGAACACGCCTGTTAGGTGGTGCAGTAGATCGCGCCCAAAGCCAGGGCCCCGCTAACGTGAGGTAGCCGAGTCGGGGCAGCGTGCACTGACCCAAGTCGGGGCCGCGCGTCCTCCCGGTGTCATGTGATAGCCCGGGGCTGCCCGCGGGGATGCGGTAGACCGCGCCCAAAGCTGCGGCCCCGGCTTGGGTCAGCGCACGCTGCCCCGACTCGGCTACCTCACGTTACCGGGGCCCTGGCTTTGGGCGCGGCTTCTGCTCATACTTTGTGGTGCGGTGGTGGTGCGTCGGGCCGCGCGCTCTGACTTCGGCCAAGAAAAATGCGTCAGCTGATCATTGTCATTCCTGCCACTTGCGTGTGGTGAAATGTGGTCATAACTTAAGAGACGGCTTTTTCATATCAATTATTTTACATAAAATCATATTTCAAACCATAAATAATGTTCGACAGCCAAATAAAAGAAACAATACCAATACACACAGGCTTACAGTTCAAGGCTCGACATTGTGTTGTCTACGATTAGACAGCTGATAACTCATTCCCGTACGTCGTAACTCTGTAATGACCTATGCTTATTGTCACATGTGCGCCGCATTCGCGATTGTTGCCGACGCCTGTTTGCAGCTTAGCCCACTACAGTTGTTATACATATCGAAAAACCGATAAACTTTTAGGCGAAAAAGGCACTATTCCAGGCCCATTTTTGATTTTTTTTTGCGATATTAGGTAAAAATAGAAGTTTCTTATCCTAAGAAAAATAAATGGGAAATCTTTCAAAGGTGGCACACTACCTTTAAAGGCCACTGGCACTTTTCCGACAGTAACTTGCTGTACACATGAAAGAGAAATAAAGATTAATTCTAAATAATGACTTCGTCAATCAATGGGCCATCCCGTCGGTGATTCTGAGGACTAAATAAATGAATAAAAGCATTTGAAATACGCTCAGCTCAACAAAACGACTTTATCTATATGCAGCATGACCTTTTCAGGTCGGATCATGACCTTGATTAGGATCTGAGGTCAAATTATAGTTCAGTTGGTGGGTGCCGACGAGAGAAACATGACGGAGGTAAAATTACCTACACATTGATAAAGCCCTAAGCTATTGCGGGATATTGTATTAGGAAAATCTATTTTGACGGTTTTGACGGAGGTAAAATTACCTACACATTGATAAAGCCCTAAGCTATTGCGGGATATTGTATTAGGAAAATCTATTTTGACGGTTTTCGCCCTCTTTGAGTCAAACCGTTGACCTGAGGTCAAATATGAGGATAGCGGAAGCCGGGGGAAGCCCGGCAGGGTAAGCTCTTTTTCGTTCTCATCACATTCCTTGCGTGCTGCATAAAATGTTGATATCCTCTAAGCTAGATAAATTAATTGGCCGTGTTTTCCCCAAAAAATCGGTTTTGTGGAACGAACGTAAAGTTGCGTAATCCGAGTTTTATAAAAGCATTGATTTTCCGGGGTAAGCCCGGCATAGGTATAACGCCGGCCACCTATAGTATCCATTGCTTTATAACGAGTTGATGAAACCTTTATGTGCCTTCCAAATCTTGACGGAAAGTGTAAAATCCCCCAAGGTAGTTTTTCTGCTCTGCACTAAACATTTTTAACCTTCGCCCCAGTGGAGGCGGGGTATATATGTTACCACCCTGTCGCGTTTTTTGCTTGTAAATAAAAAAGCGCCGCGCCGCTTGGCGTAGCTTGCTGTACATCAATTTTTGACAAGGTGTGAAATTTTTGACCCCAGGTCATGTCAGGTCAGGTCACTTGGTCAAGTTAACTGACCAAGCCTAAAAAAGTTTGTAATCATGTCCAGCATGCAGCTAGTGTTTGTCAGAGAGCTTTTAAACTTGGTGGATTGCACGATGTTATGGGCACCTAGGTATACCTACTTTGTATATCTCGGATTTTTTACATCCGTGACCTAAGGTCAGGCCAGTGGCGTGACCTATCCATTATAAGTCAATGGAAAAAAATGAAAATGCCTCTAGATCCGTGTGTATGCATAGGAAGAGGCCAAGTATTTCAGAATCAATGGATTGGACCACCCGTGACGACCAAGGTGTCTTTTTGCTGATAGCCTCTAGAAAGGTCATCCGAAGTCATTTGAGGCTACAAACATATTTTTGCCAATAACTCTCGATTGGAAAGAGATAAAACGCTGGGGATGGCTTCATTGTGTTTGTCTTGTCGAGACTCGAGACGCATCGAATTATATGCAACATGACCTATTTGTGTCACCACGAGACCTTGACCTCAGGTCAAAGTTTGACCTTGACCTTTCCGGGTAATATATATATATATATATATATATATATATATATATATATATATATATATATATATATATATATATATATATATATATATATATATATATATATATATATATATATATATATATATATATATATATTCGAAGAAACTGAAGGAGAGCAACACGATAGTGCCATGGCCAATTTTTCATCTTTGCTGGTTCAAAAGGTATTCGTGAAAAAGTTTTATCCAAAAACAGTTGTTTTCACAATGTTTGACCTATGGAGGCTTAACCGTTGACCTGAGGTCAATTTTGATATGGCCTTATCAAAAGAAGAGTTAAATGGCTATCGATTGCTTTTTCATGCGCTTTTCTAGCTATCATAGTTCCTGAGTTAACGGCATGTTTCCTGAAAAATATTATGACATTTTGCAAATTTTGACCTTTGATGACCTCTGGTGACCCCAATATTGCTCTAAGATGAAAAATGACTGAAATATTTTCAAACGTACGCATTGAGAGCTATTGACTGCCTTTTACTGCGTCTTTCTAGCCCTCTTAGTTTTTTAGTTAGAGGTGGGTGGTAACATATGCCCCCCCCCCCCAATTATGGCGAAGTTGGCTGAGACCGCCACTGGGGCGCAGGTTAAAGCTAGAAGCTTGATTTTTCGTATTGCTGCTCTTCTATTTTTTCAGCGTCCACTGAAAATTTCAAGTTTCTGTTTTTTTTTCGGAGATATGACCTTGTTCTTCAGATCATGTCATGACTCATTACCCAAATGACGAATAGGGCCTACCCAATATCTTGCGTTGGCTATGGGTCTTTTGAGCTTTTGACACCTTGAGTTGCCAGTCTGACACCTTTGACAGTTTGACACTTGTTTTGCCAGTCTTACCCCCCCCCCCCCCGCTCCCTTTCCCACCCATCGTATTAGGTACGTGAATGTTTAGTAGGTACAGAGCAGAAACACTACCGGGGGGGGGGGGTGGCAACCTGGCAACACGCTAGATTTTCCACGAAGCTCTATCTTGATCAGGTGCCAAATGGCTGTGCCCTTACCACCGCCCCCCGCCCCCACTACCACCTATATATTCGACGCTGAAGGCCAATACGGGAGGGATTGAATACGGAAAATTGGACATGGAATCACAAGCTTATTCAATCTGAAGTCTAACCTGAAACATTGCCGTGTGCATGGGGTCAGCAAAAGTCAATGACATACGGTGGCCTTTGACTCAAATACCTACATGCATTTCAAGTACCCACGCACGGTTTTGTGAGAGAGACGCTGCCTGGGAGGAAAGCACCTATAAATATCGGTCGGAAATTTCATTGCTTACACTTCACTGTTACCACTAAATGTGTGGAGTGAGGACGAATGTACCGATACAGCGGGGAAATACCCGCTGAAACTTGCAATATTGGTAGGTTCTAAGCGCAACGGTCATCCATCTGGATGGTTCCCAATGATGTGTCAACTCTAAGTCATCGGTGAATCCATTTTCAAAATGCAGAAGCGAGCCCTGCACGTGCGCAAAGTGTAGTACCCCCACCGACAACGACGACACATGGCAATAGTGCAATGCGTCATTGCTCACAGGCAGGTGGACAGCCGGACGCTCTGAGATTTCCGTTAGCTTGAGCCAGGCCGGACCCGGTCTGATCGTAACACATTTACGTGTACGCCGGGAAGTTTTTACGTCCCCTCCCGGCTCCATCTAGCTCGGCGCTAACTGGGCCACGTAGCGACATAACGTAAGCGGTATCCCTAAGGTCGTCAAAACAGTAAAACATAAAAATATAGGTTATCTTTCAGACCATGCCAAGGGTACAATCATCCGGGGTCATCAAAGTAAATTTTCCCTGATTTTGACATTCTTTGACAGTTTGGCTCTGAACTAATGAAAAAGCAGCGCGGAAAAATATTTCGTATCTCTTTTTAAGTTTGTTTTTCCTCATATTCATTCAAGGGACGTGGGATCAAAGTATGAGGGGAGGACACGTTGGACTGATTCGACCAGCGGCTGGTGCGCCGGGCACACCGTTAGGACTGATGTGCCTCGATGGAGTCTGGCTCCTGCTCGTTTGGTCCACGCTTGGATCCTATAAACCTGTTGTGTCACCTTTGGACTTAAGCGTCCCAATCCTCTCTCGCTTCACTCCGCCGAGATTCACTAAGCCACGACAATTCTCCTGGCCCTCTCCGATCAGTTACAGGTAGTGTTAACCAAGATAAACGTTTAGAGCCTCGGGTCTAACGTCCCATTTGCAGCCGCATTTAGACTCCGGTGCTGTGAAGTTTTTAAGCTTCTATAGCTTACGCCGTCTTGCCAGTTTCGTTACCACTTACCCTTACATTTGATAGCACGAGAACTGCTTGAAGGCCACAGGGGTCATTATTAACAGTTGGCTGGAAATAAGAAAGCATCGCTTCGGCCATTCATTCAACCATTCACTAGGTAACGGTAGCGTGTTTATCGCAATACCTAGTTCGTGCGTCTTAACTCAGAACGGATCGTTGGTTCTGCGGTCTGCAGCGTGCGCCGCACTCACCTTACACGTTGAACAGTTGTGCAGCACGGAGTAACGCGCGTCACAATCGTATCGGTCCAGGATGCTCACGAAACTCTCATACATCGCGCCCACTTCTCTATCACGCACGGCGAGGCTGGCCAGGTGGTGTTCGAGCCTGCTCTGGTCACACCGCAGCGGTGCGGCGCTGCGCAGGTCCCACGGCACCGTGAACCACAGGCTGACCTCCGGACAGTGTTTGAGCCTGTGGCGGCGCAGCAGCAGCAGCGCCGGGCAGCCGGAGCCCAGGCCGGCCCCGTCGCCGCCGGCCGGGGCCGCGCACTGGCTCCGGTTGGCGGAAAGGCACTCTTGCAGGCGGTGTGCGGCGGCCGGGTGGCGGCGGCCCGTCTCGGCGACCAGCAGCCACAGTCCGAAGAGCAGCGGGCCGAGCTGCAGCTGCGCTCCGGGCCGGTCACGGCGCCGCGCCGGCGGCATCAGCGCGCTGCAGCGGCCGCCGCCGCAGCACCATCGCACCGCGCACTCCTCTCAGCGGGGCGCCATCTTGCTCTGGCCCGCCGCCGCCGCCGCCGCCGACGGACTCGTCCCGTCGCCGCCGACGGCAGAGGGGCGGCGCGCGCGGCCACCGGTGCCGATCGAATGGGACGGCGCTCGACGCTGCCGACCGACGCCGAGATCCGACCGCTCGTTAGCCGCGATCGCCGATCGGCCACCTTGACAGGGGGACACGGTACGCGAACTTCCGGCCCGAGGCGGCCGGCGGACGGCCGCAGCCCATTGTGGAGCGTCAATTACGGGCTGGGATGGCCATTGTCCCGTTTCGAACGTAGGGGAGTTCATGAGCTGAGGGCGTCGAAATCTCACGTCTGTCTTGTCGGGAACGTGACATGTTTTAGGATTGTACGAGAGGTAGTCATAGGAAGAAATATACTCTTCCTCTCAGACTCTAGGAAAAGCCAGGACACTTATGCGTAATGCGAAGTGTAGGACCGTCCTCACGTCAGCATTATTGCTGCTTATTTAACACGCGCAGTGGAAGGGTTGCGAGTACTACGCCCAGTGGAGGGGGGGGGGCGGATGCCGCCCCCCCCCCCAAGATCTCAGCTCCCACTGGAGCAAGAAAGACGAAATTTGGAGGGCAGGTGAAAGCCCTGGAGAACTCTGTTGTGTGTGAATTTCATGACCCTAGGTCAATATCTTCAAGGTCAAATGAGGTCAAATGTGGTCAAATCTGCCATATGAGTGACTTTTTAGCGTTTACACGCCGATAACTCAAAAAGTTACCGGCCGATTTTCTTTTTTCTTTCACTATACGACAGAAAATACATTTGTGAGTATGTAATGTGAATTTCTAAGTTAAACCAACAATAAGTATGGCAGCAAGAAGCCTGCTAAGGGTAAGATGTCGCCGTCTGAAGCGGGATCGGCCGACGCGGGAAACGCGGCAATCACAATTTTGTGTTTACATACTCATAACTCAAGTTGTTACCGGCTGATTTTCAAAATTCTTTTACCATGAGATTGCCTGTACATTTTTTAGTCTTCTCACAAAATTCGACGCGAATCGAAGATAATCAGCGGTAAGGAGCGCGCACTGGCGGATCCAGGCTTGCGTTTTGGGGGGGGCCAACTCATGCAGGAGCCAAACCTAGGGTACCCCCAAATCCTGTTTTCTCATCGGATTTAGGCCACTTATTTTTCGTCACAGCCCTGACACTATGAATTTTTTTTAACTAAAAAGAAAAATATATAAATGGTATTATGGTAGCCCACCCGACCCATGCCTTTATATTACTTTGTAAACACTTACCATTGTTTTTATCGACCAGTTAAAGGGACCCTCCCACCTTAACATTAGATTTGAGCTGAGATAACCAAAATGGGGTCCCTGGCTCACAATTACCGGTTTCGGCACGCACTCACAACATCGAGAAATGCCTTAAATCGGAAATATTGAATTTCAAAATTGCATTTGATTCAGAGGGGCTAATGCTTTTGGATACCCCTCTGAATGTGTGACTTCAGCGGAGATCTAATGATTTTTTAATATTTTACTAAAACGTTTGGTAGCATGCGGTGGTATAGGCTGCTTTGCGCGCAACAAATGCCGCACTTTCAAATAAAGTCGCTAGGAACAGCAGCGGATATCCCAAAAAGTAAACAAAAATAAAAGTCTAATCTCTTGAAAACCGGTGAATATTTTTCGATAAAATTTGGAAGATATTCGTTTTCGCCCTTTCTGAACCTAGCGACATCACTTTCATGCCAATTCATTAACTTTTTTGAAGGTGGGAGGGTCTCTTTAACCCGCTTCGAGTCAGTGCTTGGGTCCCTTTGCGGGCCGGGAGGTGGTAAAACAGCCCTGTCTAACTCGGCTCCTGGGCCACGCCCTGATTGAACTATGTTTCATTATCGTTTGGGGGAGGGGGAAAACGGGCCACTTTAGGCCTCTGGGAAGGGGGCATGGCCCTAAATGCCCCCTCCCTGGATCCGCCAGTGTAAGAAGAGACCATTAGAGCTGCAGTTGGGTACCTCAGACATCAGGGTACGCCCTCAGATGTATGTATAGGACTCGCATGGTGACCTCTTATGCTATAGTGTACTGAAAGGACCCAAAGGAGAGGACCCAAAGGAGCCTGTCTATATGGGCTCCCGGAGATAGACGTGGGCCCTCAGGAGCCCGCCAGAGCCCCAATGAGGGATAAGTGAGGGATACCAAGTGCCTGCAATTGCATATTGCATAAGCCATAACGCCTTTACAAATCAATATATTATGCATCAGTGGCAGATCCAAGGGGGGCCACATGGGTCATGACCCCCTTGGTGCCCGGGGGCACCACAGGCCTGTCAGGGGCACCACCGGCCTAGTAGGGGCACCACCAACCCGCCAGGGGCACCACAGGCCTAGCAAGGGCACCACGGGCCTGTGAGGGGCCCCACAGGCTTGTCAGGGGCACCCCAGGTCTGTCAGGGACACCAGAGACCTGCCCAGGGGCGCCGCCGGCCTCGCAGGGGCACCATGGGCCTGTCAGGGACACCAGAGGCCTAGCAGGGGTACCACAGGCCTTACAGGGGCACCACCGGCCTTGCAGGGGCACCTTGGGCCTGTCAGGGGCACCACAGTCCTGTCAGGGCCCAGGGGCACCAGCGGCCTAGCAGGGGCACCATGGGCCTGTCAGGGGCCCCACCGGCCTCGCAGGGGGCACCACCGGCCTCGCAGGCATCACGGCATCACGCAGGGGCACCTTGGGCCTGTCGGGGGCATCACGGGCCTGTTGGGGGCACTTTAGGCTTGTCAGGGGCACCACAGTCCTGTCAGGTCCCAGGGGCATCAGCAGCCTAGCAGGGGCACCCTAGGCCCGCCAGAGGTACAGCCCACCGCTAAAGTAATGTAGGGTTTTACCAAACTCAACGGTTGGCTTTGACTGGCGATTGTTTAATGCGAAGTGATTGAAAAGAAGATGTCAATAGCTAAAGTTGCAGCTGCAAGGGTGACGATACATATAAGCTACATTCAAAGTTTCATTGTAGTCTGGCTAATCGTTCCTAAGCTTCAGAAGCAGAACATACCCATGACTGAAACCCCACATTACTTCTGCTGTGGACTGTACCACAGGCCTGCCAGGGTCCAGGGGCACCACAGGTCTAGCAAGGGCACCACGGGCCTGTCAGGGGCACCTCAGGCTCCAGTGCCCCCCCCCCTTCTCCCCCCCCCCAGATCCGCCAGTGATGCCACACCACGCGAAACACCGCCAACTACCAGCTGCCGCGCCATAAACACGTGCCAACAACAGTCTTTTTTTTTTAAGGTCGACTCCGCTCGCGCAACTTTTGACTGACCCTCACTGCTACTATATTGCTTCCATATAATGCTGTGGAAAGCTTTACTTCACCAAGTGGCTAAAAACCTCCATCAAGGTATATTTTCTTAGCAATTTTTCTGGCGTTTTGGGGGGGCCAAACAGGCCACTTTAGGCCTTTGGGGGGGGGGCCATGGCCCCCGTGGCCCCCCCCCCTGGATCCGCCAGTGGGAGCGCGATGTAAAGACGGAACCGTCCCGCCCCGGCACAGTCTACAATTCAGGCGGCGCGTAACGGCTAGCGCCGGCCGCCGCGCCGGCGCGCCGCCGCGGCGGCAGGATGTTTGACTTTACACCGCTATTACTAGAAAAGTTGCGACCCGATTTTCTTATTTCTTGCACGAGAAGATCTGCAGTTCAATTTGGGACAGGTAGCCAAAATTTCACATTAATATTATGGTTGCGGCGCGAGTTATTGGCGAAAAACAGGAGGGGTGGGTGGAATCCGCCCCCCCCTTTCACTGCGCGTGTTAATTTAGCGCCATCGACTAGCTTAGCTTAGTTCCACGACAAATCGACAAGTGCCCTGCACCCTCATATTTTATTTTTTTGCTTAAAATTGGTCTAATGGGTTGTGATGGGCGGGGAAGCCAGCTGTGGCAAGGATTTTTTTCTTCGAACAACGGTTTCCGAGATATAGCCTCGGGCAATTCTTGGAGTTCGCGCTGCAGCCCTATGTTTGGCGGCCTATAACTCAGAAACTATTGGTTTTTACGATAAAACTTCATATGGTTCAACTCACAATCAACCAACAAACATTTTGGCTGTCTCGGATTTTCAATTTTTGAAAATTTTTATCACGTGACCTTTTGTCCTATTTTTCGAAGAGTGACCTTGATATTTTCCCCACTGAAAGTTGCAATTTTGTCTGATGACGATTAAAGCCTTATCAATTGTCAGTCATATGCGATAATAAAAAAGTGGTTATCGCCCTGCGTTGACCTCAGGTCAGGTCATTTTTATGACCTGTCCATTATTACGAGCGGGAGCGACAGCGAGATCTCGAGAATAAAGCAAGATAGCGACAAGCGGTAAACGGTAAAGGGTACACACGGATAAGGTCTATAATTTTTACTGAGGTCATTTTCAGGTCAGGTCAAAGATGACGTCACAGGAGCTTAAAGGAAGTCAAAATAGCGGTACTATACATATATATGAAGTTTTTCTCGAATAACTTTCAAGGTATCCCAGCTAGGAACAAACTAATAGCACCATCGTGATCCTCTCGTCGATCCGCATCGAAACATATGTATGTTGACCTCGAAAGGTCGAAAGGTCAAAAGTTGACCTTAGGTCACGTGATCTAAGGTCAACTTTTGACCTTTCGACCTTTCGAGGTCAACATACATATGTTTCGATGCAGATCGACGAGAGGATCACGATGGTGCTATTAGTTTGTTCCTAGCTGGGATACCTTGAAAGTTATTCGAGAAAAACTTCATATATATGTATAGTGCCGCTATTTTGACTTCCTTTTAGCTCCTGTGACGTCATCTTTGACCTGACCTGAAAATGACCTCACTAAAAATTATAGACCTTATCCGTGTGTGTGTACCCTTTACCGTTTACCGCGTGTCGCTATCTTGCTTTATTCTCGAGATCTCGCTGTCGCTCCCGCTCGTAATAATGGACAGGTCATAAAAATGACCTGACCCGAGGTCAACGCAGGGCGATAACCACTTTTTTATTATCGCATATGAGTGACAATCGAAAAGGCTTTAATCGTCATCAGACAAA